AAGACTCCAATAATGACAAAACAACCCTAGTTCATTTTCTAAGATTATAGCTGACCATTTTTCCTGGGACCTGGGAAGTCATCTAACCTTTCCCTGTGCTCTCCTTTAGGAAGACTGAGTCTGATAGTGTTAGGGACCGGCTTTTTGTATCCTGCCAGGCAGACGAACAAAGACACCAAGGATGCAATCACTCAAGAGGAGCTTTATTTTCTGGCTAGCCAGGGTCCAGGCCCTAGAGTGCCAGCGCAGTGGCCGCTCTTACAGGCAAGGACCCCGACCAAAGCTGGGGCCCCCCTTTTATCCCCCCTCCCTCTTGAACACCCGCGCTGCATAAGCTGATTGTGCGTGTTAGTCTTTAAAATGATTGGTGGACTGGTAGCCCGCTGGCGGCAAAGGGGGCTTTCTCCCTTATCTGGCACCGTACCTATGCGTCTAGCTGCAAGCAAGCGATTCTCAGAAGCAGAAATATGCGTTTAGCTGATAGCTCTACCTTTGGGCCCCAAGCTAGCAGTTTCCAGGAGCCGATTACTCCTTCCCTGGGCCAATTTTCTGTTATCCGGGCTCGCACAAGTGAGCCAGCAGTTTTGGGCTGCAACCAGGCCCTTACAATAGAAAGGCAGATACAGCCCAGTATCACGGTAACGAGTGCTATCTAAAAGAAATATGATATGAAATCAAAGTTTTTGCTTGTGAATTAATTCATTCTACATTTAGTAAGAGATTACTATATATGCTGGGCTCTGGGGTAAGTACTGTACGCTGGTGTGTAAATGCATTACAGAAAATAGTACAGGCGCATTAGAGCCACAGAGGAGCGGCCCCTCACCAGGGGAAGCACAAAAAGATTCCCCCCAGGCCGGGTGAGGTGCCTCACGCCTGTAATCCTAACACTCTGGGAGGCTGAGGTCACAGGATCACTTGAAGTCAGGAGTTTGAGACCAGCCTGTGAAAAAGCAAGACCCCATCTCTGCTAAAAATGGAAAAAATTAGCCGGGCATGGTGGCACGTGCCTGTAGTCCCAGCTACTCAGGGGGCTGAGGCAGGAGGATTGCTTGAGCCCGGGAGTTTGAGGTTAGATCGCTTGAGCCCAGGAGTTCGAGGTTGCTGTGAGCTAGGCTGATGCCACGGCACTCTAGCCTGGGAGACAGAGTGAGACTCTGCCTCAAACACAAAACTAACAAAACAAAACAAAATGCTCCCCAGCCAGAGCTTCCAGTGTGGCCAGTGAGGCCCATGGAATCACCTGGAACATCAACACAGGAAGGCAGAGGATGAGTCTCAGATCGACAAACTCTACCCTGGCCACACCCAGCCCCGATTTCCACCAGCATCCAGAGGGGAGGGTTGAAAACTGGCAGCCACAGAACATTCTAGGTGCCCTGCAGCAGTCATGACTGCTGTGCTGAAGGCTCCTTTGCAGAGAAGGTGTCCAGGGTGGGGGAAGACTTCTTTCCAACCATATTTCCCCGGCACCGGGCTCCTCAGGTGCTGCGGACACAGAGATGAACAGAACAGAGCAGACCTGCCCTCACCGGGTAAGCTCTGGAACAGAGACAGAGGAGAGCCAAGAGAGCAGGCGGTGATTCATGCTGGGGGAAGAAGGGAGCGCAGGGTAAGAGCCTGGTCAGGGAGACCTCTCCCAGCAGGTGACCGGGCAGCGAAGGAAGCAAGCCAAGAGGAACTCGTGGGCAGGGACCTGGCTCAGCAGAAGGAACGAGGTGTGCAAAGGCCCGAGGCAGGAGCATGCGAGGTGCTTTGTGAGCTTCGCGCAAAGGCCAGCGCATCTGGTGCCCAGTGGACAAAGGGAAGGTGGGTGAATTAAAAATCAAAATCTCGGCCGGGCGCGGTGGCTCAGGCCTGTAATCCTAACACCCTGGGAGGCCGAAGCAGGAGGATTGCTCAAAGTCAGGAGTTCAAGACCAGCCTGAGTGAGACGCCATCTCTACTAAAAATAGAAAGAAAGTAGCCAAACAACTAAAAATCTATATAGAGAAGATTAGCTGGGCACGGTGGCACACGCCTATAGTCCCAGCTACTCGGGAGGCTGAGGCAGAAGGATTGCTTGAGGCCAGGAGTTTGAGGTTACAGTGAACTGGGTTGACGCCATGCCACTCTAGCCCGGGCAACAGAGCAAGACTCTGTCTCAAAAAACAAAACAAAAATCCAAATCTCGTCCCAATCCAGAAAACTGCTCACCAAGCTGGAAGAGAAAAAGAAATTTTCTTATAAAATAAGCATTAAACCAGCATGTGACGTGCATCGCAGGCAAGCACGGAGAAATTGCGAGGACGGCAAGCCAATGACCTTTTGCCGAGCTAGGCAGGCACGACTCATCACAGACATGTTTGCTTTTTTTTTTTTTTTTATTTTGAGACAGAGTCTCACTCTGCTGTCCAGGCTAGAGTGAGTGCCATGGCGTCAGCCTCGCTCACAGCAACCTCAAACTCCTGGGCTCAAGCAATCCTCCTGCTCAGCCTCCCGAGTAGCTGGACTACAGGCATGTGCACACACCGGAAATTTTTCTATTTTTAGTTGTTTGGCTAATTTCTCTCTATTTATAGTAGAGCGGGGTCTCGCTCTTGCTCAGGCTGGTCTCGAACTCCTGAGCTCAAATGATCCGCCCGGCCGCCTCGGCCTCCCAGAGAGCTAAGATTACAGGCGTGAGCCACCGCCCCCTGCCCACAGGCATGTTTTCAAGATCAACAAAGCTAGTCCTCAGGGAAGAAGTCTCCACAAGGCCACTTGTCACAAACAGTCCACACCCTAAGTTCACCTGGTATTTGGGACGACCATCTGTGCCAGTCAGTTGGTTGTATCCAGGGGAAAAATAGGAAAAACCAACTCCTCTCTTTATGACAAGGGGCAGTTTTCCAACTTGGAATGGCGCCTGTTCTCAATAGGAGTCATCCGGGCTGATAAACACTAAAGCAAGGAAGTCTGCTGTTCTGTTTTTCCCCTTGGTGTCCGGTTCAACTATTTTGTCAAAATATCAAATTCTGGCTGGGCGCAGTAGCTCATGCCTGTAATCCTGGCACTCTGGGAGGCCCAGGCAGGTGGATTGCTCGAGGTCAGGAGTTCGAAACCAGCCTGAGCAAGAGCGAGACCCCCTCTCTACTATAAATAGAAAGAAATTAATTGGCTAACTAAAAATATATAGAAAAAATGAGCCGGGCATGGTGGCGCATGCCTGTAGTCCCAGTTACTCGGGAGGCTGAGGCAGAAGGATTGGTTGAGCCCAGGAATTTGAGGTTGCTGTGAGCTAGGCTGACGCCACGGCACTCACTCTAGCCTGGGCAACAAAGTGAGACTCTGTCTCAAAAAATAAAAAAAATCAAATTCTTCCTGAAAAAGGTGTTCCGATGCCGAGTCCGCTGTCATCCTCGACCCAGCAGCCTCTTACGGGCTTTCAAGGCGCTGTGAATGATCCCGGGTGTTTTATGGGCCTCGTTTTATTTTGCCTCAGAGGCCACACACTGTAACTATGATTGACTATTGTTTTGTTCAAACTTGTCTTTGTCAGTGTCCCCGGAGGTAGGCGGCTCAGAAAATAGACGACAGAAAGGAAGGGGACGGCCCCGTCCCGGGCGTGCACGCGGGGAGAGCGGCCCGGGGCCCGCCACCGGCTTCAGAGTGTCAGCTGCAGAGAGATTATTTGTACCCGCATCAAACCAAAGAAAGTGCTTTGCTTTTCCTTCAGGCTTTCCGTCCGGGTCCTTTATATCCGTATCTCGCTCTATGTAACTATTTGCCTGTAGAACATTCCGTCTAAACCAACAGATCTGTGAAAAGAAGCAGACTAATTACGTGCAGATGCTTTTATGCTCGTGGCCTAGATTTACAAGGGGATTAGCACGGACAGCTCCCTGAGCGCTGCAGGTGGTGTGGCCACCAGCGCAGCCACCAGCGCAGCCCGTGCGGACAGGGCCTAAAGACATCGCCTGGGTCGAGGGCAAGGACCCCGTGGGGTCTCCCGTGACCCCAGGAAGGTGCAGAAAAGCCTTGAGACTTCCTGAGTTTCCACGGGAAGAAGCACCAAGTTCAGAGGATGGGCAGGCCCCCCCGGGCTGTGCAGGTGGCTTCCAAACCGAGCAGCAGGGCCTCCTGCTGGTGGAATCTTGGTGGGGCCAGGTGAGACTAGGCTGAGGGGGACCTAGTGACAGACGCCACGCTATCACAGAGACCAGCAGCAGTGGATGGAATTAACCCAACCACATCTGCAGCCTCCCTGCCCACCTTGCACCTACAGCCAGTGAAATGCAAAGACCTCTAGCCCCCCACCCCTGCCGGATCTCCACTTCCTGCCATCCACTCCAGGGCAGCTGGGACGAGCCTTGGAAACAGAGGGGGCGGGAGGTGTCACAGAACCGCATACGCCCGCCCCCATCTCGCCATTCCCCCAGCAATCGGGTGGGCGCCCAGCTCCAGCGGGCAGAGGAGGTGCAGAGGCCTGGGTCAGACGTGCAAGGGAGTTTGACACACCACAGGTCTGAGTTTTACCGGCCTAAGGTGCTGAATCTGCCCAGGGTATTGCTAAGGGACTGCAGGGAGTTGGCACAGAGTAACTGGAAACAGCGACAAGAAAACAGAGCCTTGCTTCTCCTTGACACCCCAAAAGGGTGCTGTCTCTCAGTAAAACAATTACACTTAGAATCTTTTTTTTTTTTGAGACAGAGTCTCACTCTGTTGCCCAGGCTAGAGTGAGTGCCGTGGCGTCAGCCTAGCTCACAGCACCTCAAACTCCTGGCTCAAGGATCCTCCTGCCTCAGCCTCCGGTAGCTGGGATACAGGCATGCGCCACCATGCCGGCTAATATTAATATCTTATTATATATATATATTAGTTGGCCAATTAATTTCTTTCTATTTATACTGGAGACAGGGGTCTCGCTCTTGCTCAGGCTGGTTTCGAACTCCTGACCTAGAGCAATCCACCCGCCTCAGCCTCCCAGAGTGCTAGGATTACAGGCGTGAGCCACCACACCCGGCCTGGGCTTAGATTCTTGTCTGGACTCCACCACCCCTCTCCTTCAGTGTCCCCGGCCCTCCCCGCTCTGACACTGCGTTCTGCCCCGAGGTCCTCTTCTCAGAGCCCTGTCGCGTGGTCCGCTGCCCGTCTGCACCTTTCTCCGTGCAGATTTTCCATTTCCCTGGCAGTTGTGGCCCAGGGGGAGGCTAACGGTAGGAATCCAGGCCCAAGGTGGCGTGTCACCTGTGAGTTTGTTCTGTGAGGGGGGAGGATTTCTGAGGGAGCGGGCAGCCCTTCCTGTGTGGCACCTGCGGCCTCCAGAGGGGAGCGGCCGCCGGGCTGCCAGGACAACGCGCCCTCTGTGGCACTGTGCATTCACCGCTTGGTTGTCATCCGAGCTGCTCTGCGCAGTCACTTTATGTTTATACACACACTCCGACACTTCCTTGACAGTGCGCGGACGCCCCGGTTCTGTGGTTGCACGACCGGTGACTACAGCAAGTCAGTCATGTCGGATGAGGAAAGACAAGCGGGCCTCCCACGCCCTGAAATAAAATAAAATAACATTTGTTGTAAAAAATGGGTAGGAGAGGCCTCGGCGAGGTGGCTCACGCCTGTAATCCTAGCTCTCTGGGAGGCTGAGGCGGGAGGATTGTTCAAGGTCAAGAGTTTGAAAACAGCCTGAGCAAGAGCGAGACCCCGTCTCTATTAAAAATAGAAAGAAATTAATTGGCCAACTAAAAAAATATATAAAAAATGAGCTGGGCATGGTGGCACATGCCTGTAGTCCCAGCTACTCCGGAGGCTGAGGCAGGAGGATCGCTTGAGCCCAGGAGTTTGAGGTTGCTGTGAGCTAGGCTGACGCCACGGCACTCACTCTAGCCTGGGTAACAAAGGGAGACTCTATATCAAAAAAAAAAGACAGAAAAAGAAAAAGAGTATGTCTCGTTCTTTACCATAGTATTCGCAGGTAAAGGGACATTATGTGCAGTTCACTCTGAAATGGTTAGAAAAATTATTTCACTTTATTTTTAGAGACAGTATCTCACTCTGTCACCCAGGCTGGAGTGATCCTTGCTGGCTGTAGCCTTGAACTCCTGGGCTCAAGTAATCCTCCCATCTCAGCCTCCCAAGTAGCTGGGACTACAGGCACGCACCACCATGCCCGGCTAATTTATTTCTTTATTTATTTGGTAAAGACGTGGTCTCACTATTTTGCCCAGGCTGGTCTTGAACTCCTGGCCTCAAGGAATACTCCCACTTTGGCCTCCCAAAGTGCTGGGATTACAGGCATAAGCCACCTCGCCGGACCAATTTTATATATATGGTCATACATAATGTCCATATATATACACTATACTATATATACATATATACATAGTATATATACTATATGTACATTTATATGTGTATGTATATAGTATATATGTACATATACTATATATACATATATGTATATATAGTATATATACATACATATAACTATACTATATTAATCAGTTTCTCTCTTATATATATGGTAAATATGGTAAAATGTTAACAACTGGGGAATCCAGGTAAAGAGTAGATGGGAATCCTTTGTACTAGTCTTGCAACTTTTCCGTTAAGTCTAACAATATTTAAAAAAAAACAAAATATCACCAAAGGAAAAAGAAGTCCACAGGAGCCCACATAAAAGTCCCCTTATCCATACAAACTGCATTTTAGTGGAACCACATAACTGATAAGGGACAGTTCTTTACAGAATGTATAGAATTCCGGTTAAGTGCAGGAGGAATAATGGAATCAGAAAGCCACAATTTCAGCAACGCTTGAGACAAGGATCATGGATGAATGCCAAACCCTTGAAGCAGAAGCTCAAGTTCACAGAGGGAACAGGCTGACATCACCTGAATCCACGGGCCAATCCTGGCATAATTAAATTTGGGACTACAAATGTCGTCCCATGATGCATTCTAGCCAAAAATAGTGTTTTTGAATACAGTCCAGCCCCAGAGCTAACTAAGTGTACAGGAAGTGCAGGGCGTAGAGGAGCAGGGAAAACTGCACCTTGAGGTCTCCATCAGCCAGACCCAGAAGGAGGAACATTCTGTAAGACCAGGTTTCTCTATCAAGTCAATGTGATTTAAGAAACAAAAAAAAGGTGAGAAGATTGTCATGGAACAAAGAGAGCTGGGGCACAGTGACTAATTGCAACGCTGGCTCTGGTTTGGATTCTGATGTGAACAAGCCAGCTAATTTAGATAATCAGAGATTGGGTGATATTAAAGAATTGCTTTTATTAAGAGTGACAATGGTATGCTGATTATGTTTTTTTAAAATGCCCTTATGAGTTAAAGATGCATATTGATGTATTTGGGGGCAAAATGACATCATGTCTGAGTTTGGCTTAAGAAGTCTGGCAAGGGGTATGAGGAGCAGATGAACTAAGATCAGCAAACCTGGGTAATCCTTGCAGCTGAGTGATGAGTATGTAGGGTTTTCTTATAAGATTTCCTGTATTTTTGTGTATGTTTGAAAATTTCCATATAAAAGTTTTAGATCAATTCCTAGCAATCTACTACCAAACCCTGTAACTTGTTCACACAAAACATTAGGTAAAGAAAATTTAAAAAATAATGAAAATTTAGACAGTGCCAAATCTTAATATTCCTTTGTCTCTGCACCTGTAGCCAGGTGTGTGTGTTCAGATTCTACCTGTGGTTCAGACTTTCCAGGACCATGGGATAGATCCTTTTTTTTTTTTTTTAATTTTTTTGAGACAGAGTCTCACTCTGTTGCCCGGGCTAGAGTGCCATGGCATCAGCCTAGCTCACAGCAATCTCAAACTCTTGGGCTCAAGCAATCCTTCTGCCTCAGCCTCCCGAGTAGCTGGGACTACAGGCACGTGCCACCATGCCTGGCTAATTTTTTCTATATATATTTTTTAGTTGTCTAGCTAATTTCTTTCTATTTTTAGCAGAGATGGGATCTTGCTCTTGCTGAGGCTGGTCTCGAACTCCTGACCTGGAGCGATCCTCCTGCCTCAGCCTTCCAGAGTGCTAGGATTATAGACGTGAGCCACTGCACCCGGCCCATGGGCTGGGTCTTCTACTGTGCCCCAAAACAAAACAACAAACAGAACCTGTTTGTCGTTTAAAATCCTACAATTAGCACCAAATTACCTACAATGATTTATATCCCCACCAATTAAATTTGCTAAGTAAAATGAGTTTCTAAACCACATACAATTAAAATCGGGCCTAATGGCTGCAATTCAGGTTCCATTATTTCAAAACACTAATTCTATCCCTTTTTTCCCACCAGTCAAAGCTTTAGGAAATGCAGCTGCCAGTCCTTCCCTGGTCCTTGACTTGGGGTCTGGTGACAGCTTTGACATTACCCCTTCTAACACAAGCCAGTGACCAGTGGGGGACTGCTGGTGAGTGGCCTGTGCCTCCCCTGCTAATTGGAAAGAAATCTAATTTAACTGGACTTCAAGCTCAGACTGTAGTCATGTAAAAGGAACATGAAGCCATTAAATACTTGAAGTCCACTTACCAGTCCTTCCTTCAAGATACATCTCGACTATCACTTCATCACATGCCTGGATTTTCTACAAAGAAATCAGTTACGCAGATGTATAATGGAGAAACTCAATTGCTTAAAGATAATTATATAATCTTTATCTTGACATGCAGTCTCTAGCATCGCATATTCATCCCCATTTAGTAGTTAAGGTGACATGCCCTCGAGCATTATTATCTAAAAGTGTCCCCGACTACAACACTTCAGAAAGATGAAGATGTTAATGTCATGATTAAAATTTGTGATTAAGTTTCACGAGTGCTCTTGAGAAGCAAGACTCCTTAAGGATATTCTTCTCTTAAGCTACATAGAATCCCAGTTTATGCAGCACCTTCAGCGAAGAACAGTAAATATGTAGGTAAATGACAGGGCAAAGGAAAGTGGTCTTAGGCTCCCATGGGCAGCAAACTGCAGAAAGGTAGGTAGGTCTACGGGAGGAGGCTGACCGAGTAAGGTTAGTTTTCAGATGACTCTGGTGCCCTCTCTGGGCGAAGTCTAGAGTTGTCTCCAGTAAAGGAGAATTTATATCCTGCCTTTAGGCAGAGAAGGGAGAACAGGGGAGTGTACAGAGACCACAGTGCCTGCCCGGTTGCTGCTGTTTAATTGCCTTCGGCTCAAAAACATTTTTATGCCCAAGTGGCATATTTTGGGGTGGCATATTGTGGACTCTATACTTACGAGCGCAGTTTCTGAGTGAGTGCACGCCCCACTAAACCTCTTGTGCACAAATCCCCATGTCAGGGCCCATTTCTAGGGAACTGGAGCTAAGGTCATTGGTACCAGAAGTAGTTGTAAGATGCAGACTCTGAATTGGGATTTGGAGCTGGACTTCCCTCTGACAACGAGGACACTACCACTAATTCTAGGTAGGGTACTGGTAGCACAAAGTTGTCAAAACTCTCACTGGTGGTGAACTGAATGGGACGATGGCAGAACAGAATCTACTGTCTCCAGAGGCCTCCAACAGGAGGGTCATTTTTATACCCTACTCGTGGGCCAGTGTTGAGTAGAGGAGTCAAAGCACTGAAGAGAGAAAGGGGTGGGGTGAGAGGGAAGAGAGAGAGGACGTAACACACTTGAAATTGCTTAATGATTGACGTAAGGATTATCTTCACATAGTAAAATATTCAAACATTAGAGATAAAGCCAAAGCCCTTCTTGGCAACCATTTCAACACCAGTGTTAATAGTATGTACATATCCCTTTCTGTAGAACTCTCTAGGCATAGATGAGATCAACACCATTGCTCTGCAATTGCTTGTTGTACTTAGCCATGTGTCTTAGATATCTTTCCTCCTAGGTACATAGAATGGCTTCTTTCCTTTTAATTGCTGCTAACTGCTGCATGATATCCCAGTGTTAGGCTGTTACTAATCTTTCATGATCACACAGATGCTATTGTGAACATCCTTGGGCACACTTCCATGGATGCCTCGATATTTTTCTAGGGTAGACATAAAGAAGTGGGATATTGTATCATAGTTTATCTTGTTTAAATTTAAAAAATTATACCAAATTACTCTACTAGTTTATATTCCCACTACCAAGGTGTAAAAACATCATTTTCCCTATACCCGTGGCAAAATGTGACATTATCAACCTTTAAATATTTTGGCACTCTCATATTTTAAAGGAAAAAAAAGATTATTGGTTTCATTTGCATGTATCTGATTACTGAGGTTGAACATCTTTTCACATGTTTATTGGCCATTTGCTTCTGTTTTCATACCCTTTGCTATGTTCTTTTATTTTACTAAGAGATATTACCTTGCAATTTAAAATAGATAAAAATACAAAGGTGGCTCACACCTGTAATCCCAGCACTTTGGGAGGCTGAGGCGGAAGGCTTGTTTGAGACCAGGTGTTCAAGACCAGCCTGGGCAACATAGTGAGATCCCCATCTCAAAAATAAATAAATAAATAAAACTTTTGCTCATTTAAAAATTCAGTTATCTTCAATATTTTTGGAGTTTTATTTTATTCTGTAAAAGGAGAGTGTTACATCTTTCATAGAGTTGGGGAGACTAATGAGAACAGCTGCAGGACACACCGCAGAGCGCTCCACACTGAGAGTGCACTCCAAAAAGTTAGCAAACCTTCACGTCACCTTGCCTTGAAAGTAGAAAGCAAGTCTGTTTGGTTCTGCATTCCATCACCTAGCAGAGAGTGCTCTGCATGGAGACAGACTCAATAAATGCCTGAAAGCATAAATGGGCCAATTCACACCACTCAATATTCAAATCTGAAGGCTGTGTGCTTTGCCCCCTTTCTCCTGTTTCTTTCATTGAACCTTTTCTCCCTGGAACAATTTTCTTAATTTTATTCCCCTTGCCAGCTGTCTCTCCTGAAATTTAACTCGCAATGTCACTACAGCTGGGTACAAGAGAACCAGACACCGCCTAACACAGTTCTCAGGTGAATATGATAAATCAATGAAGGCGCTAAATGTCTGACAGCATGTCAGTGTAGCCCCGTCTGCTTTTGGAGCGCTCCACAAAAAGCAATTAAAGTACTTACAGGAGTGAGAAAAAGATTTTCAAAAACCCTGATTGCAGACTGAGTTATCTAACACGGTTCAGTAACCCTGGCCTGAGAGTTTCACTGGTAGAGGACCCAGGCCACCATTTAAGGCTCAAAGATTCTAGGTTGGTGGGGGCCCCCAGGGGTGGAGAGCTTCCAGGGGGCCAGTTCTGGGCGGGGAAACAAAAACAATAGAATCACACAGGCCAAGTGATGAGCCCAACCTGATTTCACACTTACTCAGAGGTGCTGTGGCAAACCCCACCCAGCTGGAGTGCCTGGGGCAGAACGTGAAAGGGCAAAGGCAGGTGAGGGAAGGTGTGACGCCTCCTGTTCTGCTTTGCACCTTCTCCAAGGTCAGCCCAACACCGAAGACAACAGGGTGAGAAAATGAGCGTGTGCATGATCTGCCGCACTTTCCCTTAAGTCTGGGAATGCGAAACACAAGGGTGTGTGTGTGTGGGGGTCTCGGATTCAGCCGCTGGACAGTGGTCTTAGACCTCGCCCCAGGCCACCCCGAGTCCGCTCTAGGACAGGCCTGGGGGCCGGCAGGGGGAGGGAGGAAGGTGGGGACAGCCGCGTCCTGGAGGGCAGGGCTCTAATTCATCTTTGCATCCGGGGCCCAGTACGGGGTTCTGCGGAGCTCGCGAGATGCTCCTCCAGACCCTCCCTGTGAAAGCGGGGCCCCGGGGCTGTCCCGGGCCTCGTGCAGGACAGCGCGCCGCGCCACATCCGACGCGGCCGGGGACCGCTAAGGAGGCGAATCTCTCGGCTTGAGCCGAGGAGCGGCGGCTGGGGCCCGTCCACTCGGGCTCGGCTCGGGATCCGAGGCAGCCCCGAGAGCGCGCCCCTGGCGTAACCAGGTAACAGCCGGACCCGACGTTGGCGGCTTCTGCCCCAGATTGGCCACAAACACCCAGCAACCTTTGCGGCGAGACGGGCGGCGTGCGACTGGAGCGTGCGCGCCGGGATGGACCGCGCTCCTTATTGGACAACAGCCAATGTCAGTCACCGAGGCAATGAGGTCGTGGGCGGGACCGGACATCCGGGGCTTTCCACCCTCGGAGCGAGGCGGGTTCAGGCGGTGATGGAAGGACATGATACCCAATGGCAATCGAATTCTTTGCCTTCGCGACGGGCGCCATGGCAGTGATTGGTCCAATTCGGTGGAGGGTGGTTTTGCCTGTGCGTGGTAGCTCATGGTGGTACCACAGGTGTGCTTCGCCTGTCCTGCCGGTGAGGTCTTGGGGAATTTCTTTTGTTAATTTTTTGGTTTTCATTAAAGGTCTTGATTTTAGTAGGCTTTTCCTGGAATTACCCAGGTTCTCTGGACCCTTTAATTACGGCACCCTCGCCCCCTGCAGGATTGGGGTTGGGCGCTGACGCCAAATTACCTCCAGGGTCATGGGAAATGTGCACTGCTTGGTGAGCTAAGGTTAAATGGATGGTAGTCCCTAGAAAACGGGACAAGACATGAACGGACAGCTTACAAGGAAAAAAAAAATTCAGGGGTCTCCCAAACATTTAAATGGGTGCTCACCCTTTTTCATAAGAGTGCAAATAAAAGCGTCACCTAGATGGCATTTCCGATCAGCCCCTCAGATTCGCAGAAATCCAAAAGTTTGACAGAGTGCCTTGAGGACTGCCCAAGAACTGGCTCTGTCAGACATTGCTGGGGGATTTACCTTTGGCCCACAATCCACTTCCAGGAATCTACACTGAAAATAAACTTCCACCCGTAAGAAACAACATGTGCACAAAGTTTTATTCATAGCAGTATTATTTGAATTTGCAAGGCTGGAAACATTGCAGATATCCATCAGATGGGGAATAGCTGAATAAAATGGGATATCTGGGCAGTACAGCCCAGGGGACTCTGTGACATTAAAATGAATGAGGAAGATGCCAGTATTTTTTCTATGGCATGATCTATCTCCAGAGACATTGTATACAGTGCTACCCTTAACAAAAAGAAACCCTTAAACAATAAAACCGAAACTGACACAAATGCTTACTCATACGGGGTAGAGGTGATGATGGTGGAGAATCTGATGGAAGCCTTAGAGGGAAAAATAGAATAAAAAGGAAGTGACAGTAACAACAATAGTAAAAAAATAATAATAATAACTCTGTGGCAATGGGAATTTGCCAGGCTTGCTGTTGTTCTGCTGGGACCCAGCGCTAGACCCAGAAAGGCAGGCTTGGTGGAGTAGGCCCAGGTTATTTATAATTGCGGATTGGACTAAAGATTTCTGGTGAACTCTACTCTGTCCCTCTCACTCCAGGCTGTGAGGAGGGGAGAAAGGAAACAACTTTTATCTGCTTTAATTAAACCTCCCCATTCGCCATCTCTCCTGCAGTGAGGCCCTGAGCACCTAAACATTCTCTCAAGCCTTTGGCATTGGTTTCTGTAGGCCGCTGTGGCTCTGGGCCCCTGGGGGCAATGAAAAATGTGACATCCTGCCATGGCTACCGTGCAGATGTCTTCCCTCGGTGTCTGCGGCCTCCCACCATGCTGTTTCTTCTGCCCTAATTTATGCTTTTTAGTGGCCCTAATGGTACTGACTTTTCTTCTTCCTGACATGAGAGCAAATAGGGGTTTTCTTCTTGGTTTCAGCTTGCAGGGTAGAATGTTTATCTATACAGTTTTGTGTCCAGTTCTTGCCACTGACTCCAAGAACCTTTTAAGAATTGGTTCTGAATCTGCAGGTACGTTTTTTGGAAGGCACTTTGATTTTCCTGACCCATAGTAACACTGAGATCTGGGGGACGTTGCATGTCAGTTTGAAATAGGTTAAGTTTTTTTGTTTGTTTATTTTTGAGACAGGGTCTTGCTCTGTTGCCTAGGCTAGAGTGCAGTGGTGTGATCACAGCTCACTGCAACCCGAAACTCCTGGGCTCGAGTTATATCCTGCTGCAACCTCCCGAGTAGCTGGGGCTACAGGTGCATACCACCACGCCTGGATCATTTTTACATTTTTTGTAGAGACGGGTCTAGCTGTGTTGCCTAGGCTGGTCTTGAACTCCTGGCCTCAAGAGAACCTCCTACCTCGGCCTCCCCAAGTGCTAGGATTATAGGCGTGAGCCACCTCGCCCAGCTGGTTTAGTTTTAAGAGGACTCTTCCAGCCACAAATGGAGTGAGGCATTTGCTTAGAGGGGAAGAGCATCATTCACTGAACTGAATCTCAGTATCACCGGTGAGCTGATGAGAGCAATCTCAGGTGAGGTGGCAGAAGTGGTATAAACAGAAGCCAGCACTTATGAAGAGAAAAGAGCCAGCCAGCAGTCACAGCGAGCCAGCAGTGTTTCCATGGAGCATTCAAGGCCCACAGCTCACGGGAGACTGAGTTCAAAGAGTGGCAGCTTGAGCGCTGACCATTCTGGGCCTGGAGCTGTTCTACCTTTGGACTTCTTAGGTGAGACAGCCTCCTCTTGTCTAAGCCAGTTAAAGCCGGAGTTTTCTGATCTTTGTGGTGGAACATCTTAGCTGATACAAGTATACAGAGTTCCTTCAGTTTACTTCCCCCACAGCCCTGAGGATTTTGAATCGAGTGCATGAGTCATTCCCGTTTCATATAGTTAGAAGGACCCCGGGAACCGGAAGCAGAAAGGGAGGTAAAGCCGGCAGCAGGAGTGTCGAGGCACAGCCATGGGGGAGTAAGGAATCCCAGGCGTTCACCCTACCTACCTGCCGACATGCATTTAGAGGCCAGGGTAATAAGATGAAGCAAGGGGTCGCTGTGACCTGAGCTAGGGAACAAACAATTCTTAAATCAAAACATTTTAAAATGCTTTTGACAAAACAGATGAAAATGATTTTTAAAAAGGAAAAAAAGCATTGACAATAAAAATAAAGATAATTGGAAAAAGAAAAAGCCCTGGCATTCGGATAAGACAACAGACGCAGAGGGAAATTGTCAGCAAAGAAGCCAAAGGAATTACATAACACATGGGAGGGGTTCCTGAAGGATTTCTAGCAAACAAGAGACAAGACAGGAAGTTAGCTGTACTCCCCGCACTTACCAATGTGAGCGGGAAATGCCACTGCCTTTTAAATTCAGTGTAAATTTTATTTCAGTAAATAAAAAATATCTCTAAGAACTTTCAAAAGTTCCGTCTTTAGCATGCCCGCCCTGACCCAGTTTGCTGGAGAACTGTGAATTTTCCTGCCAACGGGGTGAGCGGAAACGGGCCCTGTGTGCTTGAAGGACATCTATTCCCATCACCGTGTTCCTGTGCTCACAGAACAGATGGATCCCTCTGGTGTCCCAGGCACTGTCCCCGAAGATCATTTGGGAATTGTATTGACTGCTTTCTGGTGAGGGTCTCTTTCCCTGCACATGGGCCTTTCTTTTCTAAAAGCCTTTGGCCTCCTGAAAGGCAGGGGCCAGGTCACTTAGTTGATTTCTCCTATCTATAGTGTCTAGCAGAGTTACCAGGTACGTTGTAAGTACTCAAGCAAGTCTTGCTTAATTATATTTAAAGTAAGTCTCCTTCTTAAATGAGAGAAACCCTTGGAGGATCTTACCTCTGATACCATCATTTTGTGCCAGGATGGAAGGGGGGTCTTTGTTAGGCCCTTTTTTTTTTGAGGCAGGGTCTCAGTCTGTTGTGCAGGCTGGAGTGCCATGGCATCATCACAGCTCACTGCAACCTCGAACTCCTGGGCTCAAGCTATATCCTCCTGCCTCAGCCTCCCGAGTAGCTGGGGCTACAGGTGCACACTACCACACCCAGTTAATTTTTGTAGTTTTTGTAGAGTCAGGGTCTTGCTACGTTGCTCAGCCTGGTCTAGAACTGCCTGCTTCAAGTGATCCTCCCATCTCAGCCTCCCAAAGTGCTGGGATTATAGGTGCGAGCCGCCGCGCCCGGCCAAGTCAGACTCCTGGACTGCTGCCTGCCCTGGGTCCGCACAGAAGGTCAAGACTTTGGATCAGAGGCCTCTGAGCCTGGCCTACACAGCAGCTGCAGCCTCACCGGCGAGCAGAAGCCAAAGAGGTCAGGGACTTTCTCCTGCGAAGAAAACAATCTTGGTGCCTGTGAAATGATACATAAATTGCAAGGACTGAGCAAATCTGCAGAGAGCGTACGCCTACGTCTGTGATAAAATCAAGCCGACAAGAGTCTGGAAATAACAAGCACACAGGTCAAGGGTCAGGACAGAGTCGGGGCCCGGCAGCCGAGGGGTCTCGCGGGCGGCGGGCCTACATGTCGTAGAGCCGGAGCTGCTCCTGCACGTCGCCGTCCGACATCTCGCCAAACGTCTCCTTGTGGTCTTTCATGAGCTTGAAGATGGCAGCCAGCTGCTCCTTCTGAACTCTGTCGGGAAGAAAGGACAAAGAGGAAAAAGGTGCTCCTGACCACAGAGGAGAGAGAGAGACCCTGCGCAAGGCTGGCGGAGTTAGGACTCTGCTAGGACTCTCTCTCTCTCCTGTTACGGCTTCTGCTTTTCGGAATAAGGAAATGAAAATAAAACGCATTTATGAGGCAGGAGCTGTTTGGTCTAACTCAAGGGGAGGGTTGTAAAAACCAGGAGTCTAGGTTTCAGGCTTACTATGGAGGGCTGGTGGGACCCCCAAGTATCACCTAGGTTCTCTGTGCCTCAGTTTCCCCTGGGGCCTCATTTCGGTGTTGATTGCACATCCCACAGTGAAGCAGTGAGGAAGAGGAAAGTTCCATTAAATGGCTTGAGAGCCCATGAAGAACTAGGTTAGAAACAGCCTTGGTTTAGAGGGATGAGGCAAAGGCAGAGGAAGAAAAAACGTTATTGGTGGGGAGACGGGCGCATGCAGATGTGGGCGCGTGCAGATGTGAGCAACAGGGCGCCTGGCAGAGGGGCAAGGAGGGCAGGCTGCAATCCAGCCGTGGGGTTGCGCTGCCCAGAGGAAGGAGTGCCTTTTTCTAATTTGCACAAAGACACCCTACGGCAGGGGGCGGCCCTGCCCCTTCCCAGGAAATGGGTGTGGATGGAGATTGGCCTTGACTTGCGCTGCACATCTGTGTCGTGGCTGGGCGCAACATCCTGTTATCTTTATGAGGCTCGGCCACACCATCTGGCCAGCCCGGGACAACTCCCACCGCACAAACAGGAAAGGGTAGGGCCAAACGGCAGCGAAACCCGGGAACTGTATGGTTTTGTTTGTTCCACTCTGGTGCCCTGTGCCGCTCGGCGTGGCCGGGCACTGCATTCCGGCCCCATCTCGCTACTCCAGGGTCTTGCTTCTGTGGTCCCCGCCCTCCACACCACACCACTGGCGTGGCACCTGCAGAGACTGTAAACCACCCTGCAGGGTGGGACCCCTTTGGGCAGCTGGCTCTGCTGCAGGCACATTCCGGGACTTTAGCATAGCTTCCGGGCCACCAGCAGTCCCAACACGGCCCGGAGGGGTGGTCTCAACGTCTGGACTTACACATTTCCCGCCATATTCTTCCTGCTACAACCTACCCTCCTCAGCCCCGGGTGGTCCATCTAGGAAACAGTTCTGTCTAGAGCAGCATCTAGAAGCTGAAATACCAAAGTCCCAATTCCCAGCCTCCTCTGTCCCCCCAGACAAGTTATGTCTACAGCCAGTTTCCCTGCCTGGAGAAGGAGCCCGTGATTCCTACTTTGTGCCCTGCGGTAGGAGGCGAGGGCGACCGTGAACAGGACAGGGCGGGTGTTGAGCTCCGTGGAAGGAATCGCAATCCAGATGTGTGCGTGGGCATCTCCCTGAGCGAGCACGAATCATCGCATGTGGGTTTGATGTGTATTTTTAACAGGGTGGACACAGGACTTCCTACTCTGCTGGACAGGGGGAGGCATCGAAAGGAAAGAGGGCTCACATTTTAACGGGTTCAAAAGAGATTGTTCTTAAACCGAAGAAACACACAGTAATCAAGATCATCTACTCAAAGTTTATTGGACTGAACAAAGGCTGGTTACAGAGCTCTAAGCGTCAGGAGTACAGGAGGCTTGGTGCCCACAGGCCACGATCGGGAAGGTCCCAGACAGGCCTAGGTGGCTGCACTTGGAGGGAGCCACCACCCTTTGTAACAACAGGGTCCCAGCCCCGGACAGGGCATCACTATTGCCGTCTGGGGACACGAGAGTACGTCTCGTCTTTGTCACGTGGCTCTGTGTCGAAGGCATCGACTGTGCGGCTGCTGCTTTGCTGCCTGTTCTGCCCCGAAGCCTGAAGCTAGGGTGTCAGGCCACTGGGAACGCACGCCCAGGGGTTGACGCTGGACACTTCCCAGCCTTCCATTTTAAACGGGAAAAAAAAAAATTTCTATAAACTTACTGCTTTAAAAAAAAAAAAGTTTTAAGCAACAAATCTAAGCAAATTAATTTGATATAGTATAAACATAGTCAAATATAAAATTCCAAGAAACTAATCTGGGACTGATCTGATTATCTGGTGTCATTCTAAGTAATCTATGAAACCTTCTAGGAAAAGGCGTAGTGAAAAAAAATCTATTTTAAGCTAACGTCATTGTTATTGCTTCTGCCAAAGCAAAGGTGGAGGTTTGGCCGAGCTGGTAAGAACATCAGTGAAAAGGCCTCTTAGCAACAAGAGGGCCGGATCCAAGGGCAACGACCCAGGCGACACCTGGCACTGGTTCCTCACTGCTCAGCAATCCACGCCGGACGCGTCTCACCCGGACAGCTGGGCCAACCGGGGAGAAAGAGGGACGCGGGGCCCCGAGGGGAAAGGGGCGTGTCCACCGTCCGTGACGGAGCTGGTGGGCACAGGTGAGCTCATCTGTCAGACCTCAAAGTCTTTTGTGGTTTGGCTTCCGTGAGGGCAACCGGAGGGCTGGAATGAGACTGTACTCTGGTTTTGAAATGTAGAAGCCGCGGCAGTTGGTGAGATCTAAGGGTTGAAGGGCGTGTGAGAGCAAGTCTAAGTGGTAAGAAAAATCAGAGTCCAGGGGCTGAGCTCAAGCCCTTAAAACCCTCCAGGGTCACGAATGGGCCCACATAAGCGGGGATGAGTGACTCTAGACGGGGGAGTCAAGGGCCTTCGGGGACCCTGCTGGCCCGGGGCCACGTCCTGACCGCGGTCTATCGCTCAGCAGGTCTACGTAGGCAGGACGCGCCCGCGAGCCTGCCCGGGCTGCTCTCTGGGGGTCTCCGTTTTATCTCAAGCTTTTAAGAGGCCAAAAGGAAAAGGCTTTTGGGAGGAGGCTAAGGACAACTTCGTTATTCTTCAGTTCTGTAAAGAGAAATAGGGAGAAAAAGATAATTTACTTTACTGGTTGCACCTTACACGTACGGAGGAAAGAGAGGAAAGGGGAGACCGAGGAAAGAGAGGAAAGGGGAGACCGGGACGAGGAAGGAGATGTTTGGAATTGCAGAAGCCGCACCGTGCCCCGGCTTCTCAAACACCTGGCACTTTGCGTCTCTTCACTTGCAGCAAGATAGTCTGTGTCGTGAAACCGCCCGGTCCTCGGGGAGCCTGGCAGCTGGCGGTGGGCACTGAGCCTCTGCGAGGTATTTTAGGGGCGTGGGCAGCCGAGTTTTGGGGCCTTTCTGATCCTTGGCTGTGTGGCTGCGGTGGTGATGGTGGCGATGTTCCCACCGCCCCAGGTAATTTCACAATCCCGCTGGCTGGGTTTTGTCCCCTCTGGGGACGCTGGCTCCCCGTGAGGCTGCTTCCCCAGTCGGGCCCAGGGCTCTCGCCCCTGGGGCACCGAGAGCGCAGCCCGCCTGATTTTGTCCCTGCGGTGCCCTCTGGTGGCCGTCGGGGCCAACGGCGCCTCCAGCCAGAGCCAGGGATTCACGCTGGCTGGTTTCAGGGATGCATCCGGTTTAAGAACCAGAGCTCTGTCCCCCAGCTGTGCTGCCTCTGCCGCCTCCTCCCCTGCCCCTGCCGCCATGCAAGACGCCCTCCTCCAGAGTCGCGTGCTTTTCCAGAAGGGTCAGGACAGCCCTGCAGACCTTCACAGGGAGGGGTGTGGGGCTGGGCCGTGACCTGTCGGAGCCGGCCTAGGCTACAACCTGGCTTCCGTGTCCCCTCTGGGGCCAGGAGGTGGGAGAACTGATGGAGCAGAGCTGACAGCTGTGCTGTTCCTTCTTCCTGCCAAGCTGTGAACCAGCCGAGCCCTTGCCAGCGGCACTAGCCTCTTGCTCAGGGAGCTGTCACCAGCCTGCAAGCCCTTAAGCTGGAGGCGGCACCCCCCAGAGAAGCCGCGGGGGCGGGAGCCCCGGGACTCCCCCAGAGGCAGTGCCCATGGCGGTGAAGAGTGTGGACCTCGAGCCGAGGGGAGACCCAGGGAAGCGGCTGAGACAGGCGGGGTCTTAAGCCGCAGCCGCCTCCGGATTTACAGACCTGGCCACTTTCTGCCCGGCCCAGCCCCGCAGAAGGAATCTGACTGCGAGCAGTCCCGAGGACAGGGACGCCCCACCCAGCACGTGCAGGTCTAACGTGGGGCCTCCTGCCTCCAGTCCCACCTCCTCGCTGTCACGCCTGTGACCGAGGCTTCTGGGGAAGGCTGGAATGGGCAACCACTGGAGATGCAGGCTCTCGACACAGAGCCGCAGGTGAGCTGATACACGTAAAGTGAGGGGACAGGCGGCGTTTAGCTGGGCACTAGCTGGCAGTTTGACGGGGGACCCTGAGTGCCAGGAAAGGGATCAGAAGGCAGCAGGGAGTTTGGCAGGGAGGAACCCGATGGGCAGAGAAGAGAGCGCCCTGCCTGCTGGCCTGCGGTTTTAGTGGATTGACAGGAACATGCATGTCATTGTTCATACTGCTCGCTCTGGGGCGGCTCCCTGGCCTCGGCCGGGACCCGAGTGTGTCGCAGCCGTCAGCTCTCCCAGCCCCCATGGGGACTGTCGTGCTGAAGATGAAAAGACAAAGCCAAACTTACCAGCCTCTGCAACCCCAAGCATCACCACGTGAGGAACAGATGTGAGCGGTGCCGCCAGGGGCGGACTGCATGCGGGGAAGGGCGGGAGGGGGCACGCGGGTGCCACGGGCATGCTGGAGAGCCACGGGAGCATGCGGGCCAGGGCGGTGATGGGAATGAACGTGAACGCCGGCCCCGCCTCGTGAAGTCCACCAGCCCCTCCTTCTCAACTCAGGGCACAGAGTGACAGCTGCAGCGTGCAGAATGAGTCGGGGGCTCCCCTCACCCCAAGAGCAGCACCTCGGGCACAGTCTCCATCCCACAGAATAGCCGAGTGTGAGCTGGTGGTCCAGAAACCCCCGGGGACCCAGGGGGAAAGGCCCTTTGGGCAATGGACAGTCTGCTCTCTGAAAGTGACAGAGAAAGGGTTTTCCCTCCCCATTCCCAAGGGCCCAGCTCTGAACGCAGGGTGGCAGTGGCAGTCTGGTGCCAATAGTCCCTCCAGACCCATGACTTCCATCAACCTGGGAGGGTAGAGACAGGCCGAGGTCCCCAGGGGCCTTTGAGGGCTGGCAGGTGCGTCAGGCGCTCCCTAGCCTGGGGCTGCAAACTCTGTCTGTAAAGGGCCAGACACTGGTTCAGGATTTGGGGGCTGCGTGGTCCCTGTTGCAGTGACTCACCTCTGCCACTGTAGCACAGACCACCGGAAAATGTATGGGACAGGTAGTCACACTGGACTGACACAGACAGGCAGTGGGCCAGATGTGGCCCCTGCTGAAGCCTGCCCTGACCCTAAAATCCTGCCTGTCCCACAGCTCGGGAGCACAGGCTGACTCAGGGTGTGTGCTGTGCACTGTCCAATCAACTGCCTCACCTGCGGGGACCTAACGAGGCTACAAGGTGACAATGTCCACATTTCTTTTTTTTTTTTTTTTTGAGACAGAGTCTCACTCTGTTGCCCAGGCTGGAGTGAGTGCCCGCGGTGTAAGTCTAGCTCACAGCAACCTCAGACTCCTGGGCTCAAGCCATCCTCCTGCCTCAGCCTCCCTTGTAGATGGGACTACAGGCATGCGCCACCATGCCCGGCTAATTTTTTCTATATATATGTATTAGTTGGCCAATTAATTTCTTTCTATTTATAGTAGAGACGGGGTGTCGCTCTTGCTCAGGCTGGTTTTGAACTCCTGACCTTGAGCAATCCACCCGCCTCAGCCTCCCAGATAGCTAGGATTACAGGCGTGAGCCACCGAGCCCGGCTACGTCCACATTCTTGTGGGCCCTGAGGCCCCAGGGACGGCAGTGCCCTCAGCCGCACAAGGGGCGCTGGCCCCCAGCCGGCTGGCCCATTGGGCCCACCAGGGACTTAACTGAGCCTCCAAGAACCTCCGCCCCGGAAAGGGGCCCTCTCTGCCAGCGATTCCTCGTGCTCGAGAAGGAGAAGGGCGGGGTGGGAACGTATTAATCAGTTATGAAGGCGATGGAGGAGGGAGGTCCGGACCACGCCAGTGGCTTTGGGGGACACGTTAGCAGACAGTGTGAGGGAAGCACCACTAGTCTAAGAAGTCAGTGTCCTTACCAAGAGAATTTGCAAGAATATGTGTGGCTCAGGACCTAAGGAGCTTGCTAGAGGGAAGTGAGGTCAGAGGTCAGCTCAATCCTGAAATATAAAGGCAGCAAAGCCGGTCATGCCAAGAGGCACCATCCTTCAGTGCCCGGGGAGTTGGGGGGCTCCTACTGGGGTCTTCCTGGTGGCTTACACGACCCCCAACCCCTGCCCGGGGGAAAGAGCCTTCCTGCCGAGGTTTGGAGATGGGGGGCTCTCGTGGGCAGAGTGGCCCTGACGTCGAGGGCTGACGGGTGGCCCGAGGGCAGCCTCAGAGTGGCATTTGAGTTCTGCATTCCGAAGTAGCAAACGCTAGGCCGACAGCCTCCGCCCGAGTAGGGGGCGAGCCCCACGAGCCCCTCTGGGTTGCCAGGCTCGGAAAACGGCACCGCCGCCACTTAGACTCCACTTTAACCAGAGAACCCCAGAGCCGGGCAAGAACCTCCCAGCCTCCCCCTTCTGGTGGCTTCCCTGGCTGTCCCGCTGCTCCCGGGCCCTCCTTCCACCCTGGAGCTGAGAGAAAATGGGGGTGTCCACGTGTGCGGGGAGCCCAGTTCTAACCAGGAGAAGCCGCAGCTGCACTGCCCGGGAGCTCCCGGAGCCGGGTAGACAAAAGGCGGCCGCAGGCGCGGGGGGGCGGGAGGCTGCGGAAGGGAGAAGCACTGAGAGGCCCAGGAGCGCCCTGTCCCAAGTGATGAATTGGTTTTGTCGTGGACTCCACGCATAAGTGAACATCTGGGCCTGCTCCTGGCTCTTTCCTGGCATCTCATTGTTTTTAGGTGGGGGGAGAACCGGGCTCCGTGCCTGTCGCCCATCACCAGCGGCCTCCTCCCAGTCAGTGCCCCAGGGGACCGGCTGCCAGAACCTGCCGGGCTAGTGCCAGGGCCTGGAGGGGGCCTGCCACGGGGGTGGGGGGCCCTCCTACCTCTGCTCCTCCTCCAGCTCTTCTTTGGTCATCATCTTCTTATACTGGTTTCCCCTCAGCTTCCCGGGGCTGTATTTAAAGGAGAAGGCCTCCCCTGCAGAGAGGGGACAAGGTCAGGCGGGCCCCCCACACCTCTTCCCTTTGTTAGCTTCTAAAGGAGCACCTGGCTGAGAGCAGCCCCGGCTGTCCTGTTGGGCCGCACCTCACCTCCCTCCACAGCTCCCCACCAACTCCTCCCTGGGGAGAACCACCCCTGCAGCCTATGGCTGTGTCCCGCTCCTCCCCTGCAAGCCATTGTCTGCAAGGCGCTGTCCCCTCCCCTGGCGGGGGTCCCCCCAGCTGCTGCTGGACGCTCGCTGTGCCAGGGCCCCCACCTCCTTCTCTCGGGCTTGGGAGGCAGGCCCTGCAGACCCCAGGTGTGTCCTGGTATCCTCCCGTGTCCCCCGGTTATTAGAATCTGAAAAAGACGCAGCAGCCCACGCCGGGCTGCGCCAGTGGGGCGGGAATCGTCACAGCAGTTGGAAGCACAGCACTATTGCTGACCAGGCCCGGCAGGACTTGCCAGTCCCTGAGGGCAGGCCCCACGGCTGCCTGCAAACAAACCAGAGGGCGGCTCTCCAGGCCTGGGGAGGGTGCCCCGGGGCTGGTAGGAGGCAAGGCAGGACCTGGGCCTGAAGTGGACGCAGCGCCAGGTGCACAGCTGGGCTGAAGGGCAGAGCAGAAGAGCTGAGATCCACAGGGAGAAGCTGGTCCCCTCACCCAGCCCTGGGGACGGAGTCTGCCTGGCCTGTGCTATCTAACCCCGTGAACTCCAAGGACCGAGCGAGGAAGACTCGGAGATCAGGAAATGTCTCCTTTTGCAGTTGCTATTCTGGAAGCAGCTGCCCCTCCAGTGCCACCTCACCTCCTCCAGCCGGCAGCCGTTGCTGTGGGACAGGCTGAGGCGGCTCCAGGAGGGGAAAAGGCCTCTCAGGTCAGGTTCTCTCGGTCGGCGGAAAGGAAAAAGGCTCTGGATGTAAACTCAGAGCCCAAACAGTACCTTGCGGGTGTTGTGTTTTCCTCTCCCCACAACCTTGCTTAGAAGGGGAAAGCTGGCCGCTTCCTGCCCCTGCCTCACCCGGCCAACTGCCCAGGGGCTAAGGCTTTTCCTTAGGGAGCAGCTGCGACATCTGCTTGTCATTCAGTCCACAAATATTTAGTGAGCACCACTCTAGGTGCTGAGGATGTAACCGTGGATAAAGCAGGCAGCGAGTACATGGAAGTAATTAACAAATGCAGTCTGCAGTTGGTCCCGAGCGAGAGCTCTGCACACGGGGACAGCAGAGGCTGCTGGGAAGGTGACATCGGGTGGTTGGGGAGCGCTTCACCGCTGGTGCTGTCACGGGAGGCTGGGAGGGTGTGAGCCTGCCGTGTCTGGGAGGACAGCCCCACCCAGGGCCTGGCCGAGCCTGCCTGGGGGTCCAGGAGTGCAAGGTGGCAGTGAGCCAGGGGACAACATGGAGGGAGGGGACTCTGGGGTCCTGGGGCAGAGACGGGAGCCATCCTTCCTCCCTCCTTGCTGGAACCCCAGCTGTCCCAGGCCGGCTTCCCCCTCCAGCTCAGCTCTGCCCTGGCTGAAGCGCAGAGGCCAGGGAAGCCCCGTTTCCTCTGGGTCTGGGAATCGGGGACTCTTAGGGCTCCGGGCACCTGGGGCTGCTCCAAGAAGTGGAGGCTGCTGTCTGAGCTGCCGAGTTCACCCTGAAGGAGCGCGGGGCTGGGCCGCGGGTTGTCACGGAAGCTCTGAGTGTACGGCACACCCAGACAGCAGCTGAACCACGGCCCGGGGCCACAACTAGCACAACCTTTGGAGCTGAAAGAGCCACTGACCAAGAAAACCAACGGGGCTGCTTGAGACAGCGGGGGCATAGCAAAAAAGGAAAAAAGGAAGAAAGGAAAGAAAGGAAGGAAGAAAACCGACTAACCCCAACATCAGGGTCACTGCGTTGCTATGTTTTAGACAATTAAAACAAACAAATCCTGCCAGCTGGGTGGGGACTAGGTTTCAATTTGTGGGGAGGTCTGATTAGCTTTATGTTTTCCGAGCCGGATAGAACAAATGACTTTGACTTAATCACATGCAGGGACCAAGTGATACAGACGCATCCAATTTTGCCAGACCAGGAGGGCTCCATCTGAGAGTCCCCTGGGGAGCGGGGCGGCTTCCTCTTCCAGCCTCATGTCACTTAGGGAAGTCATTTCAGCGACACTAATCAATTAGCCTCGGAAGCTGAGCTGCTCGCTGCAGAGGGGCTGGGGGCCATGCGTGCTTTCTTCTGACAGCTGGAGAAGGGACGGCCTGTTAGGGACAGCAGAAGGCGGCTGGAGGTTGGGGTGACCAGGGTAGTGGCACAGAAGAGGAGGGAGGGCTGAGGCAGGGCCCGGTGATGGGCACTGGGCTGGGTGGGGCTGTGCATTGGTATGACAGGCACCTCTGGGAGAGTGGCCTGCAGAAGCTCTCTCGTCTTTGCCCAGGGGCCCCCAGCCTCGGCTCTGGGCTCCCTTGTGCGTCCCCAAGTCACTGATAGCATCCCGGCATCTCAGCAGCCATCTCGGGCCACGTGGCAGGGACAGATCCCAGGGCCACGGTTGCTGTGAGTCCCTACCTCGAAGATGACCAGGAAGAACCAACAGCAAAGAGCGAGGGACTGACGTCCCCCCTGCTGCCTGGGCCTTGGCTGAGAGTCCAGCCCCTCCCCGGCTCAGAGGCCATTTGGAGGGAAAGCACAGCCCTGCAGCGCCCACCCCCAGGAGCCTGTCCCTGCATTCCTGAAACCCTCTCTTTCCTTAAAGTCACAGCAACAGTCTTGCATTTTACAAACTATGAATTATCTCAAACATACACAAAAATACAGAAAGTACGAAGTCCTCCCATGCTTGCCGTGCAGACGTAACAAACGCTGACATTTTGCTATAGTGTCAAACCTCAGCTTTTTTTCTTTAAAGCAAGAAACCGTGACAGACCAGCAGGAGCCCCGCTCTGTGTTTTGTTGTGTCTCTGTCTGTCGGGGGCAAGCGCCCTGCCGTCCCTGCCAGGTGGGAACCCGGCTGTCTTCCGCGGCTCTCAGCCCCTCCCTTTCTCGTGTCCCAGCCTTCCGCATTCTGGGGCTCGAGGCCTGGCCAGTTGGCCCGAGCTGCTCAGAACCCAGGCGTGCCCTCCCCTCCCCGGGGCCTTCATTCCTCGGCAGGCACGGGTAGCGGCCTTGTGAGCAGCTTCGGACTCAATAAAATAGGTCAGAGACGTTTGGAGAGAAACATGAAATGCATGATGGGGCCCCAAGCGCAGAGTTAAGAGTCCCCGCAGGACAGACGTCAGGGTGCCCAGTGTGCTCACGAGATGGGCCCCTGGGTCTGGAGATGACCCATGGTTTACAGGTGGAAAAGCCAACACCAAAAGTGCAGGTGACATGGGTGGGGAGGGGAGCAGGACACCGGCTGGACGCCCTGGGGCCAGACGGAGCCTCTCAGCCCACCGCCCCACCCAGCCCACTCCCCCTGTCCTGCACTCAAACCCAGCTCCGGGACCCCCAGGCGGGCATGGGCCACCCCAGACACAGTCAAACCCCGTCAGCGAGTGCAGGGGTCCCACTCACCGTCCTCTTCCTCAGGCCCTGCTTGGGGTGGGCCCTTCTCACCGTCGGAGTCCTGCTCCTCCTCCTGCAAGACAAGGCCAGGGTCAGCGCCCTCTGCAGAGAGTGGGTGGCGGCTGGCTCTCGGGCACTTGCATTCGGGCGCTGGAAGGCTCAGTAGGACCAAACTGACCCTCGGACTCCCTCTCGGGAGAGCCGTGAGCCCAAGGCTGGGGGCTGGGGTGGGAGATGGGGAAGTGGTGGGTGGGCAGAGGGTAGGGGAGAGAGGGGAGGGCCTTCAGGCTCCAGCTGTTCTTCCCTGAAGCAGAGCCTGCCCTGCAGCCCCGGTGAGCCAGCCGGTGCGGGGGCTGTGACGGTGGCACCAACACTGGGAGACTCTGGGCCAAGGACCCGTGTTCCTTCACCTGTGCAGCAAGAGCCTGTGACCTTGACCTTTCCCAGGGGGGAAAGCATTTGGATGCCACCTTGCTAAGTGGGCCCGGGACTCCCACCGCTCACGGCAGAGAGGGGACAAAGGGCCCGGGGGAAGAGCCGTCAGGGCTATCTGGGACTGGGCCGCACAGCCGGCAACTGCAGGCTCCTTCTTCGCCTCCTCCCACGTCCTTGTGCAGCCCTAGCGATCTCGGCGTGCACTTTCCCAAACTGGAGCCCCGCCGCTGCCGCCCAGTTCTCTCCCACGCACGGACACGACACACAGATGGCCGGAGGAACGCCCGGGACAGCCTCGGTGGAAGGCAGGAGTGACTTCAACTTGCAGGAATGTCAGGGGATGACAGGGCGAGCTGATGGGCTCTGGCTCTGTGGGACAGGAGGGCGTGCGGAGGGGGCGTGGGACCCCAGGAGCTGCGCCCTGGAAGCCCAGCTGGCCGACCTGGACACCATCGCAAAAACCCACAAATACAAATGAGCTGCCCATCGTGGAGCAGGCGGCACCGGGACCGGCCGACCCCAGGGTCCAGGCAGTGTTGGCAGCTGGGGCGGAGGCTCCTGAACGAGGTAGGGAGCTGAGCGGGGAGGCAAAAGAACTGGCAAAGGGCCGGGCGCGGTGGCTCACGCCTGTAATCCTAGTACTCTGGGGTGGATCGCCCAAGGTCAGGAGTTCGAAACCCACCTGAGCAAAGAGCGAGACCCCATCTGTACTAAAAATAGAAAGAAAATAATTGGCCTACTAAAAATATAGAGAAAATTAGCCGGGCATGGTGGCGCATGCCTGTAGTCCCAGCTACTCGGGAGGCTGAGGCAGGAGGATCGCTTGAGCCCAGGAGTTTGAGGTTGCTGTGAGCTAGGCTGACGCCACGGCACTCTAGCCCGGGAAACAGAGTGAGATTCTATCTCAAAAAATAAAATAAAATAAAATAAAATAAAATAAAATAAAAAATGAAAACAAGTGGCAAAGCCGGTGGGCCTGGAGCTCCTCAGCGTGACTTTCCTTCTGCTGCCTGAGATGTGGGCAGGAGCTGGCAGCCCTCCCTCGGCAGTTCGCACGCAGTGCTGTCTGCAAAGCAAACACCCACCAGTCAGGAGGACGTGGGGCTTGGGTGTCCCGACAGCTCCCCGGTTTTGCACAGCAGAGCATCTCGGTGGCTGCGGCAGTAGCAGCCCCTTCGGGGGCAGGGAAAGGAGAAATCGCCCCCACCCCTGCACCAACTGCACCCCTGCACCCTGCACCAACCCCCTGCTAGGGCTCTGCCAGAGACAGAAAAGCGTCTACCAGTGTGCAGTAGAAAACAAGACAGAACTGGCAACAACTAAATATTTATCTGTGGAGTTAAATATGCCATGTTAGGCCGGGCGCGGCGGCTCACGCCTGTAATCCTAGCACTCTGGGAGGCCGAGGCAGGCGGATTGCTCGAGGTCAGGAGTCCAAGACCAGCCTGAGCAAGAGCGAGACCCCATCTCTACTAAAAATAGAAAGAAATTAATTGGCCAACTAAAAACATATATAGAAAAAAATTAGCCGGGTATGGTGGCGCATGCCTGGAGTCCCAGCCACTCAGGAGGCTGAGGCAGCAGGATCGCTTGAGCCCAGGAGTTTGAGGCTGCTGTGAGCTAGGCTGATGCCACGGCACTCTAGCCCGGGCAAGAGAGTGAGACTCTGTCTCAAAAATAAATAAATAAATAGTTATATTAATAGCTACATATATGTGGTTAACATGCATACCTAAATATTAACCAGTTAAATACACCTCAGAGCATGTACACCATGCAATGCCACGTTCGAAAGGAGGCGCTGATGCCTACTCAGGTGAAAACTGCAAGAGAAATCATCAGGGGGGAAAGCAGGAAGCAGCCCAGGGTGAGGGTCCAATCTTGGTGTGAATGTCAAAATGGAAGTGCAAAGACAGGCTCATAAACTCAGAGAGAAAGTTTTCTGGAAGGACCCACAATAAACTGTTAACAGTTTCTCTTTGGGGAGAAGAGCTTGGGGGAAGGGCTTTCCTTTTCATGTTATACATTTCAGGGGTTTTTTTGTTTGCTTGTTTGTTTCTAAGACAGGGTCTCACTGTTTCTGGGGCTGGAGTGCAGTGGCGTCATCATACATAGCTCACTGTAACCTCACACTCCTGGGCTCAAGCGATCCTCCTGCCTCAGCCTCCCTGGATTTTCTCACAATATGCATGAATATATTTTTAGAATGCTAACAGGGGTCTTTGGACACTGAGAGTGGGGCTTTTTCAAAATTTTCTTCTACATTCTAAAAAAGAGAGAGGAAAAAAAGAATGACTGTAACCTAATAAACATATTTATATATTTGGCCCCTGCCCTCGTTCCTGACACAGAGCTTCTAAATCCCTTGGAATTTCCTAAGTTATAGGGGTGGCAGGAGCATCTTTTGTTCTAATATTTGGTCTTTGATCCCAGTCCCTGGGACAAAGCTCCTAAATCCCTTGGAATTTCCTGGGTGACAGGAGCATTGTTGGTGGGTCCTTGGGTGGGGGTAGAAGCTTGGAACTTTCAGCTCCATCCCCCGTCCTCCAGGGAGGACAGAGAAGCTGGAGACTGAGTTAATAATCGATTGCACCTACGTGATGAAGCCTCCATAAATGTCCCTACCTAGGGGGTTCTGGGGGCTTCCAGGCTGGCGAATGCCTTCACGTGCGGGCAGTGGCGCAGCCCAGCTCCACGGGGACAGCAGCTCCCGCACTCAGGACCCTTCTGGGCCTCACCCCGTGTGCGTGCCTCCACCTGGCTGTTCACCTGTTACCGTGTCGCTTACAGCCCATAGAGAAAAGTGTTTACCCAAGCTCTGTGCACCAATATAACAAATACAGCCCCCCGGTTTGTAGCCAAGTAGGACAGAAGTGTGGGTGACCCGCTGACTGTGGCTGGCATCTGAAATGGGGGGTCTTGTGGGACCGAGCCCCTAACCTGTGGGGTCTGCCTTGACTCCAGGTAGTTCGTGTTGGAAGTGGGTTGGGGGACGCCCAGTCGGTGCCTGGGCAGTCGGAGAACGGATTGCTGGGGGTTAAAAACCACATATTTGGTGTCAGAAGCGAAGAGTTCATTGTGTGAAGGTACAGAAAAACAGTTGCTTTTCCCTTTTAGGTGGAGTCTCTCTTTAATGACAAACAGCCACTGACCTACTCAGAAATAAGCCTGATATTGAGAATAGAGAAGGAGCTGATTCTCTCACTACCTGCAAGGGACACAGAGATCAAAAAACAACAACAAAAATGAGCACGGTCCCTGCCTTAAGGAGCTCATGGCCCAGCAGAAAAGACACACAAATAAGAGCAACCCAGGGAGAGAAGTTCAGGAGCCGGGTCAGACCTATTATTCCAAAGGACAAGGAGTCAGCTGACCCATCAATGCCCTCCTGAGCAGAGGCTGGTAAACACTGAGATTTTGCACTTGACTTTTGAAATGTGGTGTTATTTTTTAAACTGTGGTCATGATCCATTGATGGGTCTTGAAAGCAACTGAGAGGTCACTACTAATATTTTAAGGCAGTGGTCCCCAACCTTTTTGGCACCAGGGATGGGTTTTGTGCACTCAAGATATCTCCTGCCTCGGACTCCTGAATAGCTGGGACTACAGGTGCGCACCACCGCGCCTGGCTAATTTTCCTATTTTTTGTAGAGATGGGGTCTTGCTCTTCCTCAGACTGGTCTTGAACTCCTGGCCTCAAGCGACCCTCCTGCCTCAGCCTCCCAAAGTGCTAGGATTACAGGCGTGAGCCACTGCACCCGGCCAGAAGTTGCCCCGTGAATGCTGTGGTTCCAGCCAGATCCCCAAGTTGCGACAGTCAGACCCTCCCCCATTCCTCCACCTCACGTTGGTGGGCTCAGGCACGGAGACATGATCCATGGGCCTCACTTCTGCTTGGAGGATAAGGGCCCTCTGGTCCTGGAGCTCGGAGCTTGGGACCCGGAGAGCTGCCTAGAGTGGGCCCCGGGGTGCAGAGTCTGGTTGGAGAGTCCCCGAGGCCATTCCACCCCTGCCTTCCCCATACGCAAGCCGCTCAGCTCCCATTCCCGCACAAGGGACCCAGAGCTGCGTTTCTGTCACCAGCAACCAGAGCCCTGACCACCGTGTCCACTGTCCACTGACACCCCACCTGCCCACCTGCACCACCTTCAGGCTTTCCAAGCCAAGAACCTCTTGAGTTCTACGGGGTGGGGAGGAGGTAAGGGTCACATAAAAAAGGAGAGTTTTTGGAGTGGTTGTCAAACTGTGCTCCAAGGAGGCGCCCTGGGCCACCCACGAGGGCTGGGATCTGGGCTTCTAGCAGAAACAAGGGCTTTTGGAGAACATACTACTAATAATAACAATGGTAGGAAGGACTACATTTTTTAAAAAGTAAAATGCCACTGTTTACTGCATTTTGCCCTTATTTTATGAAAATGTATACACAACGGAAAACTGAGAGTGCCCTTGAGACAAAGAGGGAAGTCCCCCTGCAGGTGCTGGCCCCTGAGCCTCAGCCCAAGGCTCTCCGCGACGGGTTGGTCTGTGGCGTGCGCACGACGTGGGGGAGGGGGCTGAAAGCAACTGAGAGGTCGCTACTAATATTTTAAGGCAGCGTTAATATTGTGTTAATATTTTCACACAAGATATTAACACATTGTTATCCTAGCACTCTGGGAGGCCGAGGTGGGTGGATTGCTCAAGGTCAGGAGTTCGAAACCAGCCTGAGCAAGAGCGAGACCCCGTCTCTACTATAAATAGAAAGAAATTAATTGGCCATCTGATATATATAGAAAAAAATTAGCCGGGCATGGTGGCGCATGCCTGTAGTCCCAGCTACTCGGGAGGCTGAGGCAGGAGGATCGCTTGAGCCCAGGAGTTTGAGGTTGCTGTGAGCCAGGCTGACGCCACGGCACTCACTCTAGCCTGGGCAACACAGCGAGACTCTGTCTCAAAAATAAATAAATAAATAAAAATGAAAATAATAAGAGTGTTGCATGCTACCCATGTGCTGAACCGTGCACCCCCCACCAGCCCATTCTTATGTTGAAGTCTTAACCCCAAGTACTGACTATTTGGAGACAGGGCCTTTAAAGAGGTGATGAGGTTAAACCAAGGCCCATTAGGGTGGGACTAATCCAAGGCCCGCTGTCCTTACTAGAAGAAATGTGGACACACAGAGACATCAGGTGCAGGAGTGCACAGAGAGACCACGTGAGGACACAAGGAGAAGGTGGCCACCCACAAGCCAAGGAGAGAGGCCTTAGGAGAAACCAGCCCTGCCCACACCTTGAGTTTGGACTTCTAACCTCTGGATCTATGAGAAACACAGTCTGTTATTTAAGCCACCCGGTCTGTGGCACTCTGTTACAGCAGCTCTGGCAAACTGATACGTCATGCCTCTAATGAAAGGAAATCAATTTCATGGAAATTGTGAATTGGTGAAGCCCCCGGAGACAGACAGCTGACGTCATCCTGCCTGGTCCCCAGGGCAGGCCCTGGCGGGGCCAAATCCCAGTTGCCTCGCCGACCAGAGTCTCAGCAGTTTACGACTGAGCACAGACCAAGTTTCAGTCTCACAAGGTCTGGGATAATTTTCTTTTCTTTTCTATATATAATTAAAAGAATCTGTAACTGGTTGTGATCAATTAGTTGTAAACACCACTGCACTCGGACCAACGATAGGGTAATTTCTTAATTCAGCTTTTTCCTCCAATGGAGGGCGTGGAGATGGCTGGGGTAAGGTGAAGGGGAAGTGACTCCCGGCAGTCTCCCGGGTGTCAGGTCACCCTCCCGGGTGACCAGGGTCCCCAAAGGCCAGGGCGGAGGGAGTGGCGGAGGGGACAGCCAGGCTACTGCAGGCTCTGGGAGACTCACAGGGAGGCACGGTTCACACCCTGCAGGCTGCACCCACGCTGCCACTTAGCACTGCAAAGTGCTGAAGGAGAGGGAGACAGGAAGAGAGAGGGGTGATCGTCTTGCCTGTCGGCTGCCCGAGGAGACGGTTCTACGCTGGGGTCCTGTAAGCAGGATCTGCGGGGGCCCTGCGGCCACCAGAGCTGCCTCCTCCTGTGACCCCGCCAAACCCGCTGACTAATACACAGTGATATCAGAGAGCAGCAGCTCCGCCAGCGGGCCTGCGACAACAGAGATAGCAGGAAGGCGACAGAGGCCTGCCTGACTTCCCATCCACTTCCCCGCAGCAGCTTGGGTTTCCGAGATGGACACCCCTGAGAATGGGCCAGGCCAGGGGGTGGGGGGGGGGCTGCCTCCCTGGCGCCGCCAGACAGTGCTGTTGCCCCTTCCAGAAGGATCCCCTTAGCCAATCAGTTCATCTTCTGCAGGGACAGGAGCAGCGGAGGGAGCGGCAAAGCCCAGCTGGCGCCAGCTCCCGGGGTGCAGTGCCAGGCGGGGAGGGCAGGCCGGGGTCGCCGCCTTTCTCTTCTCTAAATCCGAATTTGCAACCAGATAAGGCATGCCCCACGTGACAGGGGACTTCCGTCCAGAACCGAGTAACCTGTCTTGCCGCAAACTGGCCCCTCTCACGCACCAGGGTCTTCTTGGCGGCCACAGCATCTCGAGGAATGTTGATTCCAATCCGACTCTGCCTTTCCCTTCTGACTTCTAAACACCCCCCACCGCACCCCCGCGCCCTGCCCTGGCTCTGACAGGTCTCTGGGCGCCTCAGCTTTATTCTCCACGCTCCTGCTACAACAACCCGGCGGCTCCTGGGGCACCATGGCCACCTGCCTCCAATTCATCCTGCTTTGAGAACATCTTAAGAAACCCATGCCACCTGCCTACACGGCCCACCGTGTTCAATTCTAGCAACCCTTGACCCTGCAAGTTCTCTCACTCCCGGATTCTCCTGCTGTCGGATTCCGTGAGGTCTGTCCCCTCCATGAGGTCCGTCCCGCAGAGCTTGCTAAGAGTTGCTCTCACCGCCCGGCCACTGGAGGCGCCATCGGGCTGGGCAGTGAGCAGGGACGCAGGGGACTCCCCTGGACCAAGGCTGGGGCAAGTGGTCTCTCCTTCACCATTCGCCACCCCGCACCGCTGGGGCCCCCCTTCCTCTGTCGGGGTTGGGGTCCCTCAAGGTCCTTTAGCTCAGAGTTTTTATTCTGCCTCAGGTTTGCAGGGACTGCTACAGGGAGGAGGGGCAGAGAAGAGGACCAAGACCTCCACCTGGAGCCGCTTTGCTTTTGCGCTATGGATGGGGCTTCCAGATAAGACTGAACAGGCAGCCGGGCTCGGTGGCTCACGTCTGTAATCCTAGCACTCTGGGAGACTGAGGCAGGAGGATGGATCCAGGTCAGGAGTTTGAAACCAGCCTGAGCAAGAGTGAGACCCTGTCTCTACTAAAAATAGAAAGAAATTAGCTGGGCAACTAAAAACATATAGAAAAAATTAGCCGGGCATGGTGGCGCATGCCTGTAGTTCCAGCTACTCGGGAGGCTGAGGCAGGAGGATCGCTTGAGCCCAGGAGTTTGAGGTTGCTGTGAGCTAGGCTGACACCACAGCACTCTAGCCCGGGTGACAGAGTGAGATCTGTCTCAACAATAAAATAAAATAAATAGAAAGAAATTAGCTGGACAATTAAAAATATATAGAAGCAATTAGCCGGGCATGGTGGTGCATGCCTGTAGTCCCAGCTACAGGAAAAAAAAAAAAAGACTGAACAGGCAAAAAGGTACCTGGCACTTTAGAAACTGTTAGCAAACCACAGATCTAGCGTGGCCTCCACCCAAGGCCAAGCACTTACTGATAAAACCGTCGATGCACGGCTGGTGCCCAGTCTCTGAGCACGTCTGGCGCTGGGGCTGCCTCCCAAGCAGGGCAAGCTCCCTCGCACCGCAGGCGGGCGCTGTGGGAGCCCTGGGCTAGCTAGCGGCCTGGGCAGGGGGGAAATAAGATGCCTTCCTGCTACCCAGGGTGGAGACAAGGAGACGGGACCTGCCTCTGGGCAGAAGCTGACAGCGCTTTCTTTCTTTCCCTTCCTTCTGTGGTCACTGCAGCTGCTTCTTCCCGCAAGTGCTCCGTGGGCGCCGACTGCGTGCCGGGCCTGGGGCAGGAGCCGCGGATGCGCCGGCGAACCGCGAGGGCCCTGCTGGCGGAGCGCACATTCCACCGCGGCAGACAATGCACACCAAAATAAAAGATGACCTCACACTGGATTAAGCGCTGTGAAGGAAGCCAAACAGGACGGGCGCGCTGGGGAGAGAGGGAGGAGGGGAGACTCTACATCTGCTCCCGTGGGCGAGACGCGGAGAGTGGGGGCTGAGCAGGAGCAGCGGTGTGAATGCCCGGGCCAGGCGGGCACAGCGACCAGACACCCCGGGGCCAGATGTGGGCACAGCAGGCCTGGGGGGGGCTGAGGGGGGGGCCCTGAGCACTGGGAAGGCGGCTGCAGGGGGGAGTGGAGGGGGCAGAGCTGGGAGAGGAGGCCAAGTCGGCCTTAGGGCCCCAGGCAGAGCCTAGAATTTGCTCTGCGTGCAGTGGAAGGCATGGATGAGAGCTGCAGGCCCTGGGGTGTGCTCTCTGTCTAGAAGAGTCACGCTGGGGGCTGGGGGAGCCCGTGTGTGGTGGGGGAAGCGGGGAGAGGGGCAGGAGCCAGAAAGAATGGAGCAGCGCTGTGCCCGGGATGCACTCTGGGCAGAGGGGACTGCAGGGGAGGGAGGGGGAGAACACAGGGAAGCCTGGGCCTCTGGTCTGCACGGCTGAGGAAGGGACAGTGCAACCAGAGCGAGATGAGGAGTGCTGAGCGGGAAGGGAGCAGAAACCAGAACTCTCATGAGGCGAGCTGGCTGGAGGCAAGGAGAACGGGGAGCAGGCCGGAGGCGACAGAGCTGCTCGGGGCACACGATGGTGGGCGCCACTGGCCATGGATCAGGAGGGTGCTGGCGGCCGTGTGTTCTGGAAGGCAGCCCTGGCGGCCGATGCTATGGACGTGAGCTCTGCCAGCAGGGACGGGAGCGCTGGGGCAGCTCAGGTGCGAGGAGGTCGGAAGGCGGGGAGGGACGGGATCACCGTTCTTGCTGCGCGAAGCACAGCCCTGGCCCCGCCCAGGGCGGACGGCCGTGTGGAGCCGTCCAGCCCAAAAGCACCATCCGGGGTTCCGACCTCACATCCCGATCAAGGGCACGTTCGCAAGCCCTGAACAAACTCTCTCTCGCTCAGATGACCCGAGCACGCCAGATTCAATCCTATCAGATTAACAGTTTTTGGCAACGGGTTCCTATGAAGAGGACTTAGAGGACATCAAAAGCTTCATAAAAAAAAGAAGTAGGAAACAAACGAACCAAAAAACCCTGGGGCAGAAATCCCCACCTCCTACCAGTGATGGAGGCTGAATCCTAGTCTCTGCATCTGGGGACAGAGAAGGTGGAGGGCAGGGAAGAAAACTGAGGGATGGACAAAATCAGATGGAAGAGGATCGGAGAAAATAGCAAAATTCTGTTGGAGACAATCAGGCTGAACAAGGACCATGAGCAACTGTAAATATAACAATAGACGATTCGCGGCCACTCTTTAGCATGTCTTGAGGCGGCCTCCCCGTGGGAAGAGCCACCGGTTTTAGATGCGGGACTGGGGCGCGGCTGGCTGGACCAGGGAGGGGGGTTACTGCTGTCGGCAGCGGGAGACCCCCGCTGGAGGTATTTTCTTGAGATTTATCTCAGACTCTAGGTCCTCAACAAATACGGATCTGGCCAGGAGAAAAATAATACTAAGGTCACAGAATTAGGCCCTTGTTGAAAACACACCCCGGGTTCCCCCAACCAGAGGTCGGCTTGGCCAGAGGGTTGTTTTCACTTGGAAATACTGAACGCACACACGCACACGCACAAGGCCAGACTGGAGTGGATGCCTGGCAAGTGGGCAGTTGCGGCACGGGAGAGCTCGAAGGGTCAGTGACTTCCTCGAGTCCCATGGCTGTTCAGAGGCAAAGTTTTCAGATGAACAAGTTCCATGAATTCCTGTAATGAGCTTCCTTAATCTCATGTATTTGGCCACTGCAGCCCTGTGGCCAGAAAACGGCCGAGGCCTCTACCCCTCGGCAGAGGCAAGACCGCTGCGGCACCTGGCATGATCCACTGCGGCACGAAGCTGCAAAGCAGGCTGGGTGGCGGTGGCGCACACCTGTAATCCTAACACTCTGGGAGGTCGCGGCGGGAGAACCGCTAGATACCAGCCTGAGCAAGAGTGAGGCACTGGCTCAAAAAACAAAGCTGATTTTTTTAAAAAATTTTTTTTGAGACAGAGTCTCACTTTGTTGCCCAGGCTAGAGCGAGTGCCGTGGCATCAGCCTAGCTCACAGCAACCTCAAACTCCTGGGCTCAAGCAATCCTCCTGCCTCAGCCTCCCGAGTAGCTGGGACTACAGGCATGCGCCACCATGCCCGGCTCATTTTTTCTATATATATTAGTTGGCCAATTAATTTCTTTGTATTTATAGTAGAGACGGGGTCTCACTCTTGCTCAGGCTGGTATCAAACTCCTGACCTTGAGCAATCCGCCTGCTTCGGCCTTCCAGAGTGCTAGGATTACGGGCGTGAGCTATCACACTCAGCCTGCTTTTTTTGTTTTTGAGACAGGGTCTCAATCTGTCACCCTGGCTGAAGTGCAGTGGCATCATCACAGCTCACCTCGAGCTCAAACTCCTGGGCTCAAACGATCCCCCCTGAGTAGCTGGGACTACAGGCCCATACCACCATGCCCAACTAATTTTTCTGTTTTTAGTAGACACAGGGTCTTGCTCTTGCTTAGGCTGGTCTCGAACTCCTGTCCTCACGCAATCCTCCTGCCTGGGCCTCCCAGAGTGCTAGGATTATAGGGGTGAGCCACCGAGCCCGGCCCTCTTCAGCTTTCTGACGCAGCAGTGAGCACGAGCATGCTAGCAGACAGCTCTGCATCAGCCCCTCACAGGCGGCAGCTTCGGAACCTGATCTGCGTGTCCTGTCCCATACATCAGTCCTTCACAGTGGCAAGACCAGGGCGGCCAGATGGAGGTTGTTCCAGAAATGCTCTGGCCGCCAGGGATCTGACATTTCTCAGGAAGAATGTCCACCAAAGGCCTAAGTTGGCCTCACTCCTCCCACATTGTGGTTTGGGCAGTTTGGGAAAGAGCAGAGCTATAAAAAAGAAACTGTCTAAAACTGAACACGCTCAACATTTTATTTTATTTCTCTTTAGAGACAGGGTCTTGCTCTGCCGCCCAGGCTAGAGTGCAGTGGCACCATCACAGCTCACTGTAACCTCGAGCTCCTGGGCTCAGGAAATCCTCCCACCCCCCAAGTAGCAGGCACTACAGGAGAATGCTACCATGCCAGCCCTATCGACCTCTCCAAAGCTGAGTGGCCTTTTTCTCAAGACATGCTCTTTAAAAAGGTACTATTTTTCACTATGTAAAAAAATTCTAACTGACAGCTAAATTTTCGGTGTGTAACCAAGACTCTTTGTCTCTGAAAGAAAGAACCAAGTTTAAGCTATTTGGAAAGCCCCGGGACTTCTTGCTTAAATGAAAAAAGGAGTTAAATTACGAGCTTAAACAACTTTACAAAAAAATACTCTCTTGAACCGCCCAGCGTGAAAGTCCATTTCCGGCCCTCCCAGGCGTCTGTCTGCTGCTCAGCGGCCGCGCACGGCTGTGATCACTGGGAACACCGTTACTATTTCATGTTCTGCTTTCCTCCTTACCCATTTCGTACCCATTTACTAACTAATCCAAAGTCCCAATTAATGAACATTTGGATTACTTATAGTTTTTCTCCCAGTAAGTCACTAGACCTGTTACGAACTACCATCTTGTGTCCCCCTCAAATCTGGATGCTGAAGCCCTAACTAACCCCTGGTGTGACAGTGTTTGGACGTGGGGGCCTTTGGGACGTGACTAGGTTTGGACGAGGTCATGAGGGTGGAGTCCCCGTGTTGGGATTATGGTCCTTGCAAAAAGAGGAAGGGACACCCCTCTCTGCCATCTGAGGCTTCAGCAAGAAGGTGGCCTTGTGCCGGCCAGAAGGAAAGCCCTCATCAATAATCGAATTTGCCAACACCGTGAGTTTGAATGTCCCAGCCTCCGGGACTCTTAAGAAATAAATCTGTTGTTTAAGCCACCCACTCTATGTTGTTCTATCAGCTCGAGCTGACTAAAGACAAGACCCCCAAGGTGACATGAACAACTGCCAGATGTATCTATCTAGCCCTCCGCTACCTGGCTTCCGTGCTTTTGGTAAGAACACAGAAAGTGAGACCACGCTGGCATCCCCAAGGCCAGGGCAGGTGACGGGGAGCGGGTTCACCTGCTCCTCAACCGCTCTGGAGAGGCTAAGGTCTCTGTGGCTTCCAGAGGGCACACCTACGGTGGTAAGGCTGGTGAGGGCAGGGGACACAAGGTGGACTTACAGCAGAATAACTTTAGGCGAACCAGGGCCGAGCTGCACAGCAAGGACAGACAGATGGAGGTTGTGCTGCCCACTCAGACCAACAGCACCAGACTCTCTGAAAAACCAAGCTCTTTCCTGAGAAATTTCCTACTGGGTTTCCTTTTTTGCAACATTAGATTTCGAAAAACTCCAAACCTACAGAAAAGTCAAAAGAATAATACAACAAATACCCATATACCCTTCACCTAGATTCACCAATGGTTAACATTTCACCATCTTTGCGTTCTCTCCCTGTCTCCTCTCTCTCTCGCTGTACACACCCACGCCTCGTGTGCGGGTGCATGTAACTATGGGAATCATGACATGTCATCCCTAAATGTGTCAGCATGCATCTTCCTAAGGACAGGGACAGTTTTATATAGCTATAATGCCAGGATCACACCCAAGAAATTCAGTGTTGATTCAACAAAATTAACACACCTACTATACATTTTTAACCCTTTGCACTCGGATGTCGAATGTGACTCAACATGGTTAGCAAAAATTATAGAGATTAAAATTACTCTTTGAAACTATCAATAATTTGAAATATAAAAAAATCTAAATAAATAAGTTTATATGAAAAGAAACTCCAGTTTTTTATTCTACTGCTGCGCTTTGTAAAATCTGGGGTATTTAAAAAACTAAGTCCCGAGCAGAATAAATGAATCGAGAAAAAAAGCAAGTGAGTGCAAAGGGTTAAAAAGCCCGAGTTATGTCCAAAATGCCCTTTATAGTCCCCTACCTCCACCCCCTGGTCCAGAATCCAATCAAGGATCAAGACTGTATTTACTTGTCATATTGCTTTAGTTCCCTAAATCTCAGTTAATCCAGAAGAGTCTCCCCACTTGGTGTGTTTCAGGACAGCAGCCAGCTGCCCTGGAGAAAGTCCCTACTCTGTTTGTGAGCAGAGCCAGGACCTGAGCACTGAGAGGTCTGATGCTGGCCCACACAGAGCAACTGAACTTGCATGCTATTCAAATGGCCCTTGACCTTTTGCCCATGGCGACTGTTTGCAAATCCTACAATACAGATTCAGCCTGGCTGGAATCCACATCTGCATTAGGTAAGAGGCCTGGCAATGCTAAATCCCCAACTTATATATAAGCCCTGGGAAAGCACTGCTACCTACTTTTATTTTATTTTTTTTGAGACCGTTCCTTGCTCTGTTGCCCTAGCTAGAGTGTAATGTCATTATCTCAACCTCAAACTCCTAGCTCAAGTGATCCTCCCGCCTCAGCCTCCCCAGTAGCTGGGACTACAGGTATACACCACCACATCTGGTAGATTTTTTTTACTTTTTGTAGAGATTGGGTGATCCCCCCACCTCTGCCTCCCAGAGTGCTAAGATTACAGGGACGAGCCACTGTGCTGGGCCTACTTTCTGGTTTTAGATGCTGGCTGGGTGAGGGTGGCTCACACCTGAAATCCTAGCACTGTGGGAGGCCAAGGCAGGAGGATCATTTGAACTCAGGAGTTAGAGACTGGCCTCAGCAAGACTGAGACCCCCATCTGGCTGGACAACTAAAAATATATAGAAAAAATTAGCCAGGCATGGTGGCGCACACCTGTAGTCCCAGCTACTCGGGAGGCTGAGGCAGGAGGATTGCTTGAGCCCAAGAGTTTGAGGTTGCTGTGAGCTAGGCTGATGCCACGGCACTCACTCTAGTCCAACAGAGTAAGACTCTGTCTCAAAAAAAAAAAAAAAAAGGGGGTCTACTCTTGTACCTGACCCTGTCCCACTGTCCACTCATAATTCTTTGTGAGAGTGTGACGTGCCTGTCCTGCTTCCTCCATGGCCCCCCATCGATCCCCAGGAGAGCAGGGAAGAGGTCCTGACAATCTAATTCTGCCTCTCCTCAAAGGGACTCCCTGCCACTGGCCTTGGGCTGTGTCAATCCCCTCCCATTTCCTCTGTCTGCTCTCCCAAAGTCTATCCATAAATGGCCCCTCCTTGCCACTTTGTCCTTGGCCACAGGGGGTGCCTAGCACCTCGGTGACACTTCCCGCAATGATCCCCAGCAGCAGCTGAAGGCTGCTTCCCTGAGCTGGGATCCTTCTCAATAATCAGCTTTGTGAGTCGGAGGCAGCAGCTGCCCCGGCTGGCCCAGGCCTTGCAGGGAGAGAAGAGGATTGGATTAGGAGGAAAGCAGTTAATGGAAAACAAAGAGGGAGGGGAGAGGTGAGTGAAGCGCAGCCCAGCTTAGTGCTGGGGCAGTGACTCCCGCTAAGAGCAGGTGGGGCTGTCCTCCCTCCCAGGGAGAATGAAGGAGGCTGGCAGAGGGCATGACCCCAGCCTCCCAACCCCAACTTGAGTGATCTTCCCCAGGGCGCCTTCTTGCTGTCTGTCCTCCCAGCTGGGGCAGTGTGATCATCAGAAGCAAGCACTGGAAGCTCCTGTAAATGTGAGGTCTATTTCAAGACAATTTTGGAGCACCTTCTTTGGTTCATGCCATCATTGGTTGGGGAAGAGATGACACAATGGTACCCGTGTCCCCCACAGCACCTGACTGACATCTGCATGCAGGAGCGGAGGGAGGGCCGCCGGCTGGGAAAGGCTGCGAACCGAGCTCCAAAGGAAGAGACTGATTTAAGCTGAATTCTCCCGCTGGGCCCAGGATTCCCTCAGGACAGGCTGCCGTAGGAAGAAGGCACAAGTCTCCAGTCACCCTCCCTGGCAGTGTCATCAGGGCTGCCTGGCACGTGAACTCCCCGTAAGGTGCCTTGTCCTTCAAAGCACCCGTTCACCCTCAGGGGGTGTGCATTCACCCAGACAGAGGCGAACTACGCGAGGATATGATTTAGGTATCATGTGCTGAGAGCCCAAAAGCCCTGCAGAAAGTCCCGGAGGATCAAGATTTGACTGGAGGCCACTAAAGGACATTTTGAACTTCAGTCTAGAACCTGCTGCTGGGAGATAAAGGGCCAACGTGTAAACTGATTAAGGGCAAGAGGCGGTGGCCTGAGAACAGTCCCCGTGCCTGTTCCCATGAGGCCGCGAGGGAGGCAGGAATCCCAAATATGGGAGCAAACATAACACATCAGCACATGTCCAAACCCCACCTGCCACGGACCCGGGTGAAGTCAGCAACCCGCCCCGAGCAAGAACAGCAGGCCCCTGGCTCCCCCGAAGCCAAGCCCAGGTTCCCATTAGAAGGGAGTCGTCCTCCCTCCCTTGGATAACGCAGCTGCCCTCTTCAGTGCTGGTTAGAATCCACTCTAATGACACAATTAGTCACCCACTTGTCAAGCAAAGCGCCTGCTCAGAGGGGGTCTGGCACACTTACTCAGCAGAGAGAAATGCCTGAGCCCAGCTGCCCTCCCCGCCCCCACCCCCACAGGGCTGATCTCCAGCGGGAACCGCCGTGTGCAGCACAGGACGGAGGGGACATCCACAGACACGCTGACCAGGCGCCACAGCAGCGTGCCCACGGTTTCTCCCGCCCCGGCTCTCCTCCCCTCCAAGAGGAGCTCAGGAGGGAGGACAAGGCACTGAGACCCGAGGTGGTGGCCTGGACTAGCCCAGCGGTGAAGTACTGGGGACACAGGCAAGCAGGCGTCCAATCTAAAGAGACGCCCCAAAAGAGTGTATGGGGGTGGTGGGACGAGGGGTGACGGACACCGATCTCCTCTCTGGATATCTGGAATCCAGACGGTGTGGTCAGGGCCAGGTGGAGGGACAGCATGAGTGGCCTGGGGCAGAGGCCCGGAGGGAGGGCGGGTTTGGGGGTGCTCAGCTGGCTCGAAGAGGGCTTTATCGCGCGTCCCAACAGGCCAGGCCCGTCTGCGACGCAGGGGTGCAGCGGGTGGCGCGAGACGTGCCAAAGCCATGTGCAGCTTGAAAACCACAATAAAAGTGAGCGCCAGGATCCCGCGCCTGTTCTTTCTGTCCCATCCCGTGGCTTCACAAAACGCCACAACATTGACACTGGAATCTGGATTTCAAACTGGCTTAAAAATGAAAGGCAGCTTTGGCACCTCCTCCCCTCCAGCCCGCAAAGCACCCCCTTTTCAGTATCAAGGCAACTCTCAACGCAGGCCTTGAAACAAGCCACATGCACGTGGATTTGGGAACCGGTGGGCGGGAGGGGTCAGGGGCGAGCGCGGAGCAAACTTCCAAGCCCTGGTCACGAGGCCTGGGAGCCACGCAGCTGTGGAGCATCGCCCCGGGCGAGAAAGCGAACGACACCCAACTCCAGCAGGCCCGTCTCCCGGCGACACTTTGTGGGGGAGGATGGCGAGTTTGCCGGGCTGCGACTTCACACGCCGCCGGGACCTTCGTTTCCTGCCGGCCGCGGGCTGTGCGCCTCCCTGGCCTGGAGGCCCGCGGCCCGGGTTCTGCGGGGAGGATGGGGGCCGGGGCGGGGCGGGGCGGGCGCGGAGGGCCCCGGTGCGTACCTGCCTCGCCTCCGCCGCGACTCTCCGCTCGGCGCAGCCGGGCTCCGCGCCCTCGGCCCCTCCGCGGCTCTCCAGCTCCGCCCGCGCGCCGCCGACTCGGGCGCAGGGGCCGGGCGGCGCGGGGCCCCGCTGCCTGGGCGGGGCGCGGGCTCCGGGGCGCTGGCGGGGCCGGCTGCGCCCGCTCGCCGCACCAGCAGCCAGGCGAACAGCGCGCCAGCGCGGTGGCGCGCAGCGCGGCCACAGCTCGGCCGCGCCTCCATCCCGCCGCGGCGCGCGAGTGCCGGCCGCGGGACCGAGGAGCCCGCCGCGCCGCCCCGCGCCCCGGGGCGGACGCCGCGCCCGGCCCGCGTCGGGGTGACACGGGCGGGCGGCGGGTGGGCGCGGGAGCCCTGACCCCTTGGGACGCGCAGGAGGCAACCCCTGCCTGGCCCGGGCAGGCCTGACGCTCCGGGGCACAATTTAACTATGTGAGCTCAGACTCGGCTTGAAATCCAGCCTGAAACACCAACTGCTCAGGCGCCCTTAGGCTGTCATCTCTCCGCATCATCTTAGCCCAGCGCAGAAGTTCGTCTTAGCGCTTTTTGGAAACCATAAGCTGGGGAATGCCGAGACAAGTGCACCCGGAGGTTCACGGAAACTGCAGCACAGATTGCCTTGCAAGACAACGAAAACAATTCCTAAAGCCCGATTACGTCCAGCCACTGCCGTTTCTATAAACAGGTCAATGGCTGTTATTCCTTCCGGTTGCCTTAACGCATTTTCAGAGGACGGCTCCAGATCCCGTGGGAGGTTGGGGGGCGGCGGTGAATGCCCGCTCGGCCTGGGCCTGCAGCATTCAACAGCCTCACCTTACCTGGCTGCCCCCACCCCCAACACCTACCTCTGTAACTCAGCCCCAGGTCCCTTGGATCAACACTATTTCCCCAAGTGGCTTTTCCTCTTTGCACAATTACGGAATGTATGCAGGGTGGGAGGGTGGAACGAGGGGAAGGAAGGCTGCTGTTTGTTTCTCCAGATCCTTCCAAGGCTCTGTTGCTGCACTACGTTTGAGATAAATACATTGTAACCAAAAGCATATTCCCTACCACTCACCACCCCCTAGTTATTTTAAATAAATACAGGGTGGGCAAAGTTTGTCAGGTACCATGCCAAGCATAGGCCTAATGTTAAGAAAAACAGGGTTCCAATTTTTGCTTAGGATGCACTTAATACTTTTTGAGGAAAATTACAGTTGCCCGAGCCAATCTCTGATGTCATGCGGGATGGGAGTGCTTCTTTTTAACAGGGAGATCCACATAGGCTCTTGGGCTTCCTCATGAACTCCTTGTGACAATTAGGGTTCCCAGAATCAGGAAAAGCTTAATCCTGCCGCATCACATATTAAGTGGGGGTAGGGGGGAAGCGCCTTTCTTTTTGGTGGTGGTTGATGAAAAAGGGCCTCAAACTATAAAATGTGGAATAGGGTTTATCTATAGGCTACTGGCTGGTTGACCAGCGTGTGATGTTCTGCCAGCATTTGGGCCTTATTTTTGTTCCCGTCCCCATTGTTTTACAGTACATTTTTAAAAGGTCTTGTTCTGCTGACAAAATACATTCTATTGACTTTCAAATGAATAAGAATGAAAGAAACAAAGACAAAACCATGCGAAAAACACAACTCCAAATCAAGTTGCTTTATTTAAAATGAACAAATTTCATCCAAGTGAAAGTTAAAAATACCAATCCAATGGCAGACCCACCCCACAGCTAGACGCACGCAGAATGGACGCAGAACTAGGAGATTGCTCCGAGTTCTATTTGACAACTACGAGGAGGCACAAGTGCTCAGAAGACAGTCCCAGTTCTGTCCTGTCCAGTCACCGTGGAGACAGCAGGCCAGGGCTCGTTCTCCTCCAGGGAGATTCAGTGGAGGCTACAGAAGTCAAGTTTTCAACTAACAATGAGACAAAGTTGAGCCACCACCTAGGGATACACATTCACCTAGTTTTACTGTATACAATGTAACATCAGTGTCACATCTTGACAAAAGCAAGGCTTTGTCAGAACCAACAGACTCTACCTTGAACCCACGGGCATTATCAGCACACATATCAGAACAACTTATTTGTGGAAATACTACACACAATCTAAAGGAACTAGCTGCAGAGTCCTTAACATGCTGCTCCCTAGACAGCACTTTCTACACTTATGCAAAACTCCTCTTCCATCTCGTACTGTGTCTAAAGACCTAAATCTAAGGCTGAGACTCTAGTGAGTTTGTAAAGCATCTGCACCAGCAACTTCCCATCGATTCTTAAATACCTACGTCACATACTAATTTACATACACAGCTACAATGTTAATTATGTTCTTTCACGAAGCTCTAATAAACCTGCATTTAGTCAGGTCTGTACTTCCCTTTCTGGTTGTGGAAATGCATGTCCCTGTTTACAGTGGCTCTCCCCTCAAGGTGTCACCCCCAACACCCCAGCACTGCAACCGCAGAGGCACCTCCCGCAGCACTCCGCTCTGCAGGCTGACAGTGAGGCCTCACCCCCAAAGACCCAGGGCCCTCCTGACGTCCTGGGTCCCCCACTCAAGTCTCTGCCACCCTTCTCCTATCTGAAGTTTCTGGTCTAAGATCCCTTCTCCCAGGACCCAGCTCTTTGGTTTTAGGATTTGCTGTCCTCTTGGAGAATAATCCCTGACGAGTCTGATGCTGCAACCTTCACTTTACCACTGTTGACACCACTCCAAGGAGCAGCTCGTGCCAGGCAGGAGGAAGATTACCTGTGGACAAATGGACCTACCCTACGCGATCACCAGGCCACCATCTACTCCTTCCCCACATGCGGCTTCCCCACCTCCTTCCTGTTTGCTTCCACATGGAGTGCCTGGCCGGCACAGTGACAGTAAGCGCGCGTAGCCAGAACAGATAAGGCATGTCCCACTGTTACTTATGGGGTGGCAAGAGACAAACAGTAGTGCATAATCTGTCTCATCCAGATGCTTTGAGGAGAGGTGGCTCTGGGGCCTGTCGGATGGGCTAGAGCCCTTACTTCTGGTTACTGTTTATCAAACAGGAATCACGTTTCACATCTAGAGAAGGAAAAGTGGGTATCCAACCTTCAAAATTCCAATTTCTACTGCACCGTTCAGGCCACTGGCAGTGTATCTCACCACGCCCTCTGGTGGCAATGAACCTTTTTGGGCTGTTCTCTGGTTCGAACTGAAGTTTAGAGAGGAGCAGCTGGTAGGCAATAGAGAGGAAGGTAAGGAAAGAGGTCAAGGGTGACCGCCCAGTAGCAGTACTGGGAAAAAGGAAACAGCTTTTTGAAGATGGCAAGAAGAGTCTTTTAAAAATAGAAGGAGGGACACCATTCAGATATTACTAACAAGAGATTATACCGTACTCACACCCAAACACATACCGGGCCCACCACGGAACCAGAGGGAGCCCCGAGGGCGGAGGGACAGCAGCACCCCCAGGCAGGCAGAGCGAGGGGCGCTGCCTGAGGAGGCTGCACAAGTTCTCTCACCAGCCCAGCCACACAACTGGGGTGGCATTTGGGTTGGATGCAGAAAACTGAACTGAGACACAATAGAGAGTCAGTGTCCTAGAGTAAAGCCACACAACCCAGAGCCAGTCCCTCAGCAACTCAATACTGGGCAAAGACCTGGATTCCCCTGATTAGACCTGTTTCTAGGGGGTATTTTAGGGATAACACCATACAATTCTAACACGTCCACACTTGCTGTTCCCTCCTCTGGAACACTACTGTGACACAGTTCCTTCCCCTACCTGGCTACTAGTGCCTTTACTCACACTCCATCCCAGACAGTGCTTTGGACTGGGTGTGGCCTTTGACAATCTCCCCCTTATTTTTTATTTAAATTTAGTTGAATTCAGGGACAGATTAAGGCAAGCAGGTGAATCAAGAAGACAAGAGATAGAACCTGCTGGTCAATCCCCAAATATTCATACCAGAGTCACTTAGAAGTATCATCAGAGTCCGAAGGCTTCTTAGAAGTGCCATCTCTGAATTTACTCCCTGTGTGGAACACAAGCCCCCCACTTAGCGCCTGCAGGTCAGACGAGCGGAGAATGCCGATCACAAGTGAGAACCGCTTACGATCATGTGGTGGGAAAGGATGGGGCCAATCTACTAGAACTCGGCCCTAGTCACAATTTAAGTTATGTGGTAGGAACACATTAAACGCCTTTCCCACTCTGCAAACAAAAAATCTCCAGCATCTCTTCCCCACCCCCAAATAAACCACACAAAAATAACCCTGATATTTCATAGCCTCCCTGACTGTGGGGAGAAGATAAGTAATCCAAAGACAGGATGAGCAGTGGGTCACGGTGCTGGGTCACTGCCACAGAATGCGTTTTGGACTGAAGGAGACACACAGGAAGGTGGCACTTACAGTACTTCTGACGAGTCACAGGTTCACACACAGATCAAAGTCCTCTCACCACTCTGCATCTCTGCTTGTACACGCCGGCTGTGTGGGTGACGGGAGCTCCTTACCGACACCAGCGAGGTAACAAATACAACGAGATGTTGAAAGGACCAGACCCTCCGGCCTCATGGCCCACCGGCGTGGTTTTCAGTGAGACAGCACAGAACCTTCTTACCCAACATCATGTTAGCGCCAGTGTTTCACTGAGCTGGCCAGGCTGTTAAACTTCTTGATAATCTAGTCTTAGTAAGCAGAAAAACAGCATGTGACCGAAGATAGGAGCTTGGAGCAGGGAAGGAACATCCAAATTCAAAGACAGAGGAGAAGGTGGGAGCAGAAGACGTGAGAACTGAGTTGGGCGGCTGCCACCAGCTTATGCTGAAGCCACCTCAGGGACAGTCTCTTTATTTGCTCAGGGGTGAGCCCGGCCTCCACAAGTGTCCCTAATCCTGCCAAGGAAAGTACAACTGCCTGTAATGAGCATGTAGACAGCATAGCCGGGTGCAAAGCTAGAAGGCAATATTAAAAACAGGACCCCCAGCACCCCCATGGTGAAGTAATGGCAGGGCTTTCTATAAAATTCTTATAAATTACACAGTGACACATCAAGCATAGATATAGGTCTATAATAATGGAACAACTTGAAAAGGCAAGAAGAGAACTCTACAAATTGGCTATGAAGACAACAACTAAGGTTGAGAAATGCATATTCTAGTCTGATAAATTCACTTGAGTAAGACACCTAATTTCCCCACGGAATTCCAGATGGACCACAGAGGACAGAGAAAAGAGGACAGAAAGGAACGTGGGTCCTGGGCTTTCATAACACATTTAAGAAAACACTCAGCTACTCAGAAACAGAAGAATGTAACAGGAACACCACCTGCAGTAGTCAAGGACTTCAGACACTTAGAAGCCTATGAACTTCAGTATTTCACTATTCTCCCCCAACCTCTCCTCTTAAGACTTCAACTAGCACATCCGATAAAGGCCTCGGGGATTTAAAGATCCTAGATGCATTCAGAGAATAAACAAACTTCATCATGAGCCTGTTATATGCCCAGGAAGAGGGCAGGTGCTTGCAAAAAGATTATCTTACTGATTTTTTAAGTTTTAACTTCTTTAGATCTGATCTTGCTTCAAAAAGCAAAAACAAAACATGGAGACATGATTGAGCTTTTATAAAAACGTGTAGATCTTTGCTGTCTGATTTGGTCTAAGCACTCAAAACAGCAATGGCAAACTGAGAGAAAGAGCACAAGGCTACACCTGGGCTTCTTCAGAAGATGCCGGGGACTTTTCTAAGTTTCCCCCAGTGCTGCTCTACTTCACCACGGTGAATACACACTGGTGGAGTCACTGCGCACCCCCAGGCTACCACAGGGAGCAGAGCAATAAGGGAGGTTCTGGTATTCTCAAAGGAAGAAAATTTCAAAGATAAAATGGATTCAATTTTTATTAAATAATGTAAAGGGTTTTCTTGGCACCATTCACATACTCTTGCCTTTATGCATAAAACAAGCCAGGTTTGTCTGCATCGGCAGCAAAGACAGCTACCGGAGCAAACGCTAAGTGAATGGATTCAGGTTCCAAGGGCGTCCTCATTCTCTGGCTTCTGTCAGCCCTCCCCGTGTCTGCAGGAGCCGCTGGGCCGCCCTTCCCGGGTCCTGCCCCTGGCTGCCAGCATGTCCTCCTACACAGACAACAGCTGTGCTTGGTCACCTGGAGGAGCTGCGCTCTTTGCTCACGCAGTCGTCCTGGGAGGTGGTGTCCCCGTTGCCCACCATGCTGCACGTCCTCCTCTTCTTCCTGCGGTGCATCGTCCCGTCACCTTCAGACCCAGACTCACACTGGACATGGGAGACAAAACAAGAATTCAGCCAGGATGCAACCCATTTCCTCATTAAACAACCTCTGACCTCACAAGACAGCCCAAACATTGTTCACTTTCTCCCAGAAGCAAAGCAGTCATTTATGCCAGTTCCACAATGCAGTCTTAATAGCCACCTCCTTGGATGGTTCTGATTCCCTAAGAATTTCAACTCCCCTCACAAGCCAAGTGTCCCTCCATTATTCTCTAATGGAAAAGTTATTTGTCTGAAATCAAGAAACTCAGTATAAAAATATTTTCTAGTTAGCATCCTAACATTGCATTATGAAATTTCACTCTACCAACACAGAGCTTGATGCATGAAAGTCAGTCTACCACTGAACATCATAAAACCCCTCTCCCACCTGAGAAAAGACTAGATCAGATTATGTGAAGTTAAGAGACAGAAATTCCATCTGCTAAAGGCGCAGGGCCCTCTTTTTGTCGGTATTAATGCTAGCTTTAAGCAGGTAACTGGATTTACTGAGTTTCCAGGCTTGTACTTTACCATCCACAGAGAAAAGTCTTCACTGGGCTCTGGCTCTGAGGTCAGAGGATGTGAGTCTGAATCCTGACACTGCCATTGGCTGGCTGTGTGACCTTGGGCCGTTTACTTCACTTAATCTTCAAATACCCCTGGATACCCGAGGTTAGTTTAACAACTCACATACACGTGTGAAGCTGTAAAATGGGCAAAATTCGCCACTCAGCAGTACATATGCCCCTCCTTCCTGGATGGAGAGGAAGAGCCATGGCCAGTTCTGACTGGGTGACAGGAGCCTGCAGGACCCATGGGCAAGAAGAGCGAGCAGGGCCTCACCTCTGAGTCTGAGTCCGATGAACTGGAGCTGGAGGAGCTGGAGGAGTCGCTGGAGCTGTCGGAGGCGATCCCTGTGGACTCCTGAAGGTCAACCGAGTCTGCTAGGACTGCCAACTCAGGGTGCTCTTGCTTCAAGATCCTGGGAGGCAAGAAATGTTGTTCTTAGTGAGGTGGTAGGCAGCAAGACCCATACATGATGACTCACACACAAAAGTGTTTCTAAAAGACCTGTATCTGTTAGAGACCTGTCCCTTAGAAACACCCAGAAAACCAGCTGTATCAATTCAGAATGGGTACTGTATAATGATGAGGACACATAAACCCTAAGCCTGAGAACAAAAACCCCACTATGCTGCCCATTTTTTTCTGCAAAGAACACTAAGCACTAGCTCCACACAATGATTACCACTGCACAGATGAGCCAGCCGACTGCCAACGTGTGAGATAACGTTTCCTCAAGTTAGTCTTTTTCCCTTGGGAGGAAAGTTTTTCTTTTCCTAGTTTTGCTCCCCCTGAACCATTGCCTAGCTGATTTAAAAACAAACAAACAAACAAACAAACAAAACCTTTCCTTTCCACAGCACAGCATGTAATAATCAGAGTTGGGTTTGGTTAGATTCTAACTATAAGAGTAGAAACAATTAGGAAAGAAATACAAGGTATCAAATAACAGAGACAGTCCCCCTTCACTTGGAAGATAAAACTGAAGTGGACTTAAGAGCAGCCCTCCCCTTCAGGAACCTGACCTGGCATCCACTGAAACCACTGACAAAAGACCTGCTGTATGGTAAGGTCTTGGAGTGACCAAATCAGCACGCAGCGGCCTACAGGGCGGGGTAAGTGGGCCTCAGATGCCCGAGAGTCCAGGGAGAACAGAAGCCACCACCCTTGCTGGCCCTCTCAGCAGGGAGGCTGAGCACTGAACAAGCCAGAATCCCTCTCTTACCCCGAGAGCTGGTCCCTCCAGGTCAGGGTTGGGACACAGTGGCACGGGGTGGCTGAGGGTGGCTTGCACTGCCGCTGCCCGTGCTGTATCTGTTCTGTGGATAAACAGAGGAGCTAAGTCTCCAGGGCAGTCACCTCACTCACAAGAACTGAAGGTAATAAGTTCAAATGGGAGTAATACTTCTGGGTAAGAAAAATAACCAAAATAAAACCCAAACAAAATAGCTTCATTTGCTAGTGCTAGCTTTGAAAAAGAAACAAAGAAACAAAACAAAATGAGAAACAATCCCAATTATGACCATATTTTGACTGAGTGGCTTTGATTATACATGCAGAGTCTTACCCTGCCACCTCGAGGCTGGCAAACATCCTGAGATCTAGCCCTGACCTCGGACCATCTCTCCTCTACTCATGAGGTTTGGCAGCCCCAGGTTTTCCCAGACCTCTCTAAAATCAGCACACGGTATTGGCAGTAGTGGACTCTTTCAATTTTATCTCAGGGGTAGGAACTGAAACAAAGTAAAGGTAAGAAAAATAAAAAGGCTCTCACCTATACCATTTCCTTGATAACTTTGGTCTCCCTCTTACCGTCTTGTGCCATACAACAGGGAAGTTGGTGCTGCTGGCAAAATTCTGGGTGATGGCAATAGTAGTGTCAAGATTGAGGACAACGTGCCACCAGCCTCCTGAAATGCAACAAATAAACAGTTAAACAGGGTTTGGTCCCATACATAATCAGTGTGTAGCACAAACTCCAGCAATTGGGGATGCCCATCCCTAAGAGTGAGCCTCAGAAAGACATGAATACAGAGCAGTAAAAGTGCCTCCTGATCGAGGGACTGGCAATGACTTGATTGTGCAAATAAAGTTTTATTGGAGCACAACCATATCCATCCATTTATGTATAGTACAGGGCTGCCTTCCTGCTACAAGGGCAGAGTTAAGTAGTCGTGACAGAGCCTGTTTGGCTCATGGTGCCTAGAATATTTACTCTCTGGCCCTTTACAGAAAAAGTTCATGGATTACTGTCAATCTAAAGCTCAACCAGGCCAGGTGTGGTGGCTCATGCCTATAATCCTAGCACTCTGAGAGGCCGAGGCAAGTGGATTGTTCGAGGTCAGGAGTTAAAAACCAGCCTGAGCAAGAGCAAGACCCCGTCTCTACTATAAATAGAAAAAATTAGCCGGGCATGGTGGCGCTGCCTATAGTCCCAGCTACTCAGGAGGCTGAGGCAGCAGGATTGCTTTGAGCCCAGGAGTCTGAGGTTGCTGTGAGCTAGGCTGACGCCACGGCACTCACTCTAGCCTGGGCAATAAAGCGAGGCTCTGTCTCAAAAATAAATAAATAAATAAATAAATAAAATAAAGCTGCGACCAAAACTTTAAAGGCAGAAAGCTGTTCAGCTTCTAGGAGGAGATTTTTATTTACCTACTATAAATACCCTCACATCCATATGTTTAAGCGAACAGAGTGTGAATGTCTGGTGTAGGATTGCCTGCCTCCTAGCTCTAAATTAATATTTCCCCACTCAACCCAGACAATGCTACACTGCATCAGAAACCTAATTTATAGAAACATGCAAAGACACTGAGTAATTAGTAGGAATAAAGATGAGCAGGATCTTTACATAAAGTTTATCAATAGTTGTAGTTACATGACAATGTGGACAACAGCTCCCCCAGCACTTGAGGACGCAGCTACAAATTGTTGTCAGAGGTGGGGACCAGTTAGTTCATTGACCAGGTAGCATGCAATGGGATTTTTTTGACTCACTCTCTATATAGCTCTGCTCCAAATGACAAAATACTGAAACCAAAGAATGTACTTTCTTCCAGTTCATCTATACCTGGCACAAAGACAGTCTCTCCTGGTTTTTGTAAGATTTCCAGGGGTTTGAATTCAGGTGGCCAGGTTGGAAGCTGTGTCCGGGGATAAATCACGTTAAACCAGGTAATAGCTTCATCCTGCTGGTTCCCTCCTTCTTCCCGTGTCACCTTGATGAGCTCCCTGGGAGTGCTTGTTGGGAACAGGCACCAGCGCTTGTGACCCTGAACTAAGGCATTCCAGGCACTGGTTCCCAGAGGGTCGATGTGAATCCCAGTTCCAGAGCGTGGTGGCCCCATTACAAACCACCTATAGGATGGAAACATCCGAGATGTAAAGTGCAATTTAATTATACATACAGGTACAACACAAAATAGGAAGTTTTTAATTTTATGTATCATATCACATTTATTTCAGAGACTATACAAATTCTGGTACACAAAAACAATGAACTGATCACTAACAAAAAAAAGGTGGCTGATGTGGTTTATTGCCAGACTTTAACTATTGAAACTTCCCTCATAGATCGGTGGTTCAACTTTAGTTGCACAATCAAAATGCCTGGAGAACTTTCACAAATTCTGACACCCAGGGGGCACCCCAGACCAGTTAAATCGGAGAATCTCCCATCAGGATCCAGGCAGACATCAGAAGTCCCCTAAGTGAGTTCACTGTGCAGCCAAGAAAGGAGCACTCACTGTTTTAAAAAAAGAATAGGTCACTGAACTCCGCTCACAAATGCCTTATAGGTAAGACTTTAACTACTTAGCTGCAGGATACTTTACCTGTAAGGGGGCCTGCGCTTCTCCCCTGCATACTGGAAAAGGTCATCAGTAAAAAACTTGGGCACCTTGTAGTCCTCCAAAAGTTTCCTTCTTTTGGGGTGTTCACCATAGCTGCTGTCAAAGATGTAAAGGGGGCTGTCATCTCGCGTGCTCTCCATGTACTCGATGTAGTATTTCATCTTCATCTTCACAGAGTAGCCATCGTTATCCTCACCACACTTGAACTTCTGGTTCCGGTATTTCCTTTTTAGGCGCTCCAGAGTCCATTTCTCCTGCGCGGACCAGCCCTCTTGGGCATTCAGCAAAACCACGGGCTTGTAAGGCCTTTCATATCGCTCCACAAATTCTTCCACAGACAGCTGTAAAGCATCTGCCCTGTCCACGTTATCCTGAGGGAATCAGAAAAGACCTGTCCAGTTAACAACAACAACAACAGTCCGTGGCAGATCAGGGTGTCCCCCCAGGGCCAATTAGCAGTGACATACCTAAGGAGCCAGATTCTCGTTCTGGCTCCGCCCGGGGAGGAGGATCGGGAGGGAAAGCCCTGCGTGCCCGTGGACACGTCGCAGCCTGAGCCACCCTATTAGGGGAGGGGACTTCCCATCTCCCACTCGCGGGCGCTGACAGTCAGGTCCCCTAGGGCCCCGCCGCCCAAAGGGCTCAGGGGCGGTCAGCCTTCCGGTTGAGGACACCGAAGGCGTGGACTCTGGTCACCCGGGCAGGTGGCGGCTGCAGCAAGGGAGGAAGGGGGCCCGCCCCGGAATCCGCGCCCGTGTTCGGGGACCCGGAGCTCCGCGGGGCGCAGGTGAGCCTCGCCCGGCGCGTGGAGCGGGGACGAAGGCAGCCGCGGACGGGCAGCGCGGTTGCTGGAGGAGCCGACGCCCGGCCCCGCGACCCCCGCCCGGCCCCGCTCACCGCCACGGCCGCCGGGCTCAGCGAGAAGCTCTCGTAGTAGTTGTGCCGCGTCCAGTCCAGCGAGTCCTTGAGTTCCGGCCGCGCACTCCGTTTGGCCTCGCGGATCCGCTTCTTACTCTTGTGGTTCATCGTGCAGGGTCACCAGCTGGTTCCGCCGCGACCTCCGCACCGCTCGCTTCCTGCCACTAACGCGCCCCCTCCCCGGCCCCCTTTGGCGGCTGCGACACCGAAACGCCCTTCGCCCGGGCCTGGCGCCTTTAAAGTCGCCTTCCAGAAAATTCACTCCCCAGCCACCTCCCGAGCCTCGGGTTGGGCATGCGGCGGCCGTCTTCCCCGCCCCCGCGCCTCTCGCGGTCCGCTATTGGCCTGCGCGCCTCCGGGGCCCGCCCTCACACACGCCGGGCCGCCGCCATGTTGGGAAGGTCACGCCTGCCGTCGCGCCGCCCCGCCCCGCCCCGCTCACGCGCTTCCGGCGTGCCCGCCACTTCCGGCCGCGTGCTGCGTCCGCCGCGGATCTTTCCTTCTGTGTGTGTGTGTGTGTCTGCGGTGCTTGGCGCTTTCTTTGCTCGTTGCGTTGCCGGCCCAGCGGGGCTTTCCCCTTTTGCCGCCGGGCGGCTGCGGCGGCCCCCAGCCGGCCTGGGAACTGCCGCGCGAGCAGCCTGGCAGCCCGGAGCCCTCCGCGGCCCCCTGCCCGCCCGGGGCCCACCGACGCCCCTGCGGGCGAGCGTGGCTTCCGAGGGCATGCGGCCGGCGCCCAGCGCTTTCGGTTCTCGGAGGAGCCGGGCCCGGGAGCCCAGGGGGCCGTGCTGGAGGTCCACGTCCCCCAGGTGCGTGCTGCTGCACCCGCCCGGACGCGCCCTTCCGCTCCCCCCGGTGCGGAGGCGCCTGACGGCAGGAGTCCGCCCGGCTGGTGTGGGGAGGGTGGGGAGGGACAGTCAGCTGCCCCGCTTTCCCCTCTGTCCCCGCTTTAGGGAGGCCCTCGGAGCAAAAAAGGTTTGGTATGAAGCCCTTGGGCAGATTAAATGTCTTACAGTAAGAAATTTGGGGATCCTGCCAGATAGGGGGCATCTTCACATCGTGTGTTTTCCTGCCAGGAAAGTGGCGCCCTGACCCCTAATATTTCCTTTGATCTTTTGAAGGGCTTCCTAATTCATCTTTCTCTCCCTTTTGTGTAACTTCTGGGACTAGAGACAGCCACCTCAGTGCCCAAATAAAGTTTCTTGGCTTGGCACTGTCTTCTTTCTTTGAGCTCACAGTTGCCACAAAACTCTCAGTAATTGTACCTTACACGGGTTCGGATTTTCAAGGCACTTTCATGTTGCAGTGTTTAATTTGACTTTAACACCAGCCTGTGAGGTAGGTATTAGTAATGCCATGCTGAAGATGAAATAGTTTGAGCCGGGCGCGGTGGCTCACGCCTGTAATTCTAGCTCTCTAGGAGGCCGGGGCAGGTGGATTGCTCGAGGTCAGGAGTTAGAAACCAGCCTGAGCGAGACCCCGTCTCTACTATAAATAGAAAGAAATTAATTGTCCAACTAATATATATAGAAAAAAATTAGCCAGGCATGGTGGCGCATGCCTGTAGTCCCAGCTACTCTGGAGGCTGAGGCAGGAGGCTTGAGCCCAGGAGTTGGAGGTTGCTGTGAGCTAGGCTGATGCACTCTAGCCTGGGCAACAAATCGAGACTCTGTCTCAAAAAAAAGATGAAATAGTTTGAGAGAAGTTTAAAGGCTGGAATGGAATCCATTTCTGGTAGCCTCTACACAGCTTCATGTTAAAATATCCTGTTGGATTTTTGCCTAAATTTAGGGAGTGAAGGTATTCTCTGTGAGAATGGAGGCCTCTTTACACCCAGCTGCACAACTGTTATCTTCTGATCGGAAATCCTTCATTTTCTCCCTGTTGTACTCTTGCGTAAAATCCAGCAGGTTGGGTATTTTTGGCTTGCTTCTTGCTGTGTCCTTAAGAACAATGCCTCGAATATTTTAGGCAGTAATAGATTTGAGTGTATTGAATTAGTTTCGATCTCACATTCTTTTTTTTTTTTTTTTTTTGACAGAGTCTTGCTTTGTTGTCCAGGCTAGAGTGAGTGCCATGGCGTCAGCCTAGCTCACAGCAACCTCAAACTCCTGGGCTCGAGCAATCCTTCTGCCTCAGCCTCCCGAGTAGCTGGGACTACAGGCATGCGCCACCATGCCCGGCTAATTTTTTTTCTATATATATTAGTTGGCCAATTAATTTCTTTCTATTTATAGTAGAGACGGGGTCTCGCTCTTGCTCAGGCTGGTTTTGAACTCCTGACCTTGAGCAATCCGCCTGCCTCGGCCTCCCAAGAGCTAGGATTACAGGCGTGAGCCACCGCGCCCGGCCTGGATCTCACATTCTTTATCTTTGATACTTTTGCCTCTTCAGCCTCCTTTTCTACCACCTCACCCTTTCTACCTACCTGGCACTCTGCTCCAGAGGACAGAAAGAATTGTACTTTTGCAGTTTAATTGCTAACTTTGCTTTGTGTCCGGCACTGAGTTGCTTGCACTGACTTTTCCTAATCACCTCTTGAGACAGTATTTCACAGTTGAGGAAACTGAAGCACTGTCAAGTAACTTGTGTAAGGTTTCACAGCGCGTAGGTCTAGAAGTTTGAACCCCTGCTGGCTTATTCCAGAGGCATGAGTTATGCTACCTTGCCCTCCCTAAGTGCCATGCTCTCATGATTCCAGTCCTTTCCAAAGGCTTTGTACGCTGCCCGCCTTCCTAACTCAGGATTCAGCTCCACTCATACTTTTAGGATGTCTTCCTAGGACCACACTACCCATTAGCATATCAAGTTATGCTTGTGCTTAAAACCCTCCAGTATCTCTCTAGAGTAAAATCTAAACTTTTTTCTCTGCCTTATCTCTGACTTCCACTTGCACTGCACAATGATGCCTGCCTCCCCTCACCGCCCTCCCTGCTCCATGCTCTGGTCCAGCACTTGCTTACTTGTTGCCTCTCTACACCCAGGGCATATGCTCCACGAGAGCTACATCCTCAGTCTAAGAATGGTCCCTGATACTCAGGTGTTGGACAATGCTTACTGAATGAATGAATGCTGTGAAGAGTGGTTATCACATGGCTTTGCAGTTTCATATCCCCACAGTTTGTAAACTGGAGAGCAGGACCCTCATTGCCAATGCCTGACACTTGGTAATTGTATAAATAAATTTTCCAACTTCCAGCAGATACTTACGGCATAGAAAAAAATTCTTTTCAGGTCCTGCATCTCCAATATGGAATGTATGTATGGCCGTGTGCTGTGGTCCTGGCCCAGTACCTGTGGTTCCACAGAAGATCTCTGCCGGGCAAGGCTGTCTTAGAGGTACAAGTGCCCCTGAAGTTTCCAAATTCCTGGGTTATTTTCAGTTGTGAAGTCTACATGCTTGTCATTAGCTTTTGTTAAATATTTTTGAATTGGATTTATATATTATATATAAGTTCTGTGAGCTCAAAATGTTTATTTTTTATTTCTGCATATTATGGGGGTATAGATTTTAAGGTTTCAATAAATGCCCATTCCTCCCTTCTCCCCAGAAGTCTGAGTTTTCAAAATGTTTTTTACACTCTTAAACTGGCTAAAAAAGAGTAATCCTAGCATTGGGGGGGGGGACCTCAGGCAAGAGAATTGCTTGATACCAGGAGTTCAAGACCAACCTGAGCAAGTGCGAGACCCCATCTCTATAAAAAATAGAAAAAATGAACATACTGGTACATGCTTATAGTCTCAGCTTCTTGGGAGGCTGAGGCAAGGAGAATTGCTTGAGTCTAAGAGTTTGAGACTGCAGTGGGCTATGATGATGCCACTGCACTCTAGCCTGGGCAACAGATCTAGACTCTTGTCTCAAAAAAAAAAAGTGACAGACCAAAAGTTGCCCACAAAGCATAAAATATTTACTCTCTGGCTCTCTACAATTCACTGCCCCTGTTCTAATGAGTCCCCTTGGATTGACTTTCATAGCACTGGCAGTAGTCTTTTTTTTGTTTGAGACACAGTCTTGCTCTGTTGCCTGGGCTAGAGTGCTATGGCATCAGCCTAGCTCACAGCAACCTCAAACTCCTGGGCTCAAGCGATCCTTCTGCCTCAGCCTCCTAAGTAGCTGGGACTACAGGCACGTGCCACCATACCCGGTTAATTTTTTCTGTATATTTTTAGTTGGCCAATTAATTTCTTTGTATTTTTAGTATAGATGGGATCTCACTCTTGCTCAGGCTGATTTCGAACTCCTGACCTTGAGCGATCCTCCCGCCTCCGAGAAAGCTAGGATTACAGGTGTGAGCTGGCAGCAGTCTAATTTTAGAGATGGAGGTTCTCACTGTTGCTCAGGCTGGAGTGTAGTGGAGCAATCACAGCTCACTGCAGCCTTGAATTCCTGGGCTCAAGGGATTCTCCCACCCCCCTCTGGAGTATTTGGAAGTACAGACAGACATGAATTACCACAACCAGTTAATTTTTCCTTATTTTTTGTAGAGATCAGGTTTCGTTATGTTGCCCAAGCTGGCCTTCAACTCTTGGGCTCAAGTGACCCTCCCGCTGCCTCCTTCCTCCTAAAGCATTAGGATTACAGGTGTGAGCCACCACACCCAACCCCCTGGGCCTTTTTATGAGGGCACCAATGCCATTCATGGTGGCTCTGCCCAGTTGATCCAATTGCCTTCCAAAGGCCCTCCCATCATATTGGTGACTGTCGACTTAACCCTACCATAGCATAGCCTTCTGTTTTGGGAAATGTTACTGACTCAAGAATAAAAGCTTGGAAAAGTAAATTGAGTCTCATTTACAGAAATTCTCTTTGCTTAAGCCTAAAATGCTAAACAGAAAAGCTTAAGAATTATCTAACTTTTGCAAAGCCATGTAAATGAAATGAAGGGTAGGATGTGGCACACACTTCTGGCCCAAAGTAGTCACAATTGCTAGGCATTCAGAAAAGATTCTATGTCCATGCCCAACCTGAAAGATGGAAAGCCCGTGTTCTGTATTAACATGTATGAAGGCATTCCTTAGTATGTTTACCAAGTGTCTTGCCACTTTCAAGGCCCAACTGGAAAAATCTTTAATACCCATATCGTAACAATAGTCAGTTTTGGCTACAAAAAAAGCCAATATAGGTAATGCTAATAGAACCAAAAATCATCCCCAAATGACTCCCTGTACGGAGCAATGAAACTGCCTTAGATACATTGAATTTGGAAGCAATACACTTAAAGTCAGTTGCAAAATATGACCCTTTAATATCAAAATGGGAGCTTAACTGGTACTTGTCAAATTGCCCTTTGTCCCAGTAATTAGAGGTATCACAAGGAATTCACTTGTCATAAAGTCAAAGCATATAAGCTTCTTAAGGTAATGTTTTGCAGACAAGCCCCAAAATGTACCTTAAGATTGTGTTAAAATATGGAAGGATGAAATGTGAAATTCTCCCTGCAGTTTTAAGCCTAATTTTGAAATACCATCTTTTAAACTTTAGATTGGAGCTGGAGTGAGCCTTCCAGGAATTTTGGCTGCAAAATGTGGTGCGGAAGTAATACTGTCAGACAGCGCAGAACTGCCTCATTGTCTGGAAATCTGTCGGCAAAGCTGCAAAATGAATAACCTGCCACAGGTGCATGTTGTAGGACTAACGTGGGGTCATGTATCTTGCAGTCTTTTGACTCTACCACCACAAGATATTATTCTTGCATCTGATGTGTTCTTTGAACCAGAAGGTAAACCTTTTTGGTTCAATAGTAAATTTGGCCAAAGATGCATTATAGAAAAATCTAAGAAGTCCTTTCTCCTCAGATTTTGAAGACATTTTAACCACAGTGTACTTTTTGATGCAGAAGAACCCCAAGGTCCAATTGTGGTCTACTTACCAGGTTAGAAGGTAAGTGAATAGTAGTGGTTTACTCCCAGTCTTATCAAAAAGGTAACTTAAGCCTTACTATACCCATGCAATATGTAATTTAATAAAGTTAAAATATGTGAAGCAAAACAGAAAAGGCATCATTTAAAAAAACAATTTATTTTTTTAAGTGCTGACTGGTCACTTGAAGCTTTGCTCTACAAATGGGATATGAAATGTGTCCATATTCCTCTGGAGTCTTTTGATGCAGACAAGGAAGATATAGCAGAATCTGCCCTTCCAGGAAGACATACTGTTGAAATGCTGGTCATCTCCTTTGCAAAGGACAGTCTCTGAATTATACCTACAAGCTGTTCTGGGACAATGCCAATACTGATTAGCAACCTGGCACATATTATTAGGATCAGACTCGCTTCATATACTTGAGAAAATGCAGTGTTTGAAGAAGGTCACATCTGTTGGCCTTAGATTATGTGTCACCTTGAGAACACTCTTTGCAGGTAACATAACTATGTAAACAAATTAAAACACCTATGAAGAAAAAGGACTTGGACTGTTCTTTAGTCATTAAAATAGGACATAAATTAGGTTGAGAAGGGAGTACTCAACCTCAAGAAAGTGCTACCTTAAAGCATTGGTTTTAGGTGCTGAACTGGCATCTCCACTTCTTTTTAACTTAGGAAAAGTCAGATACTAAACATTTCACTTTCATACTATACAGTCAGTGACATTCACAAAATATTTGCATAGGTCTTTCAAATAAATGGGGGAAAAAAGACCAAGACATATTCTGAGAAAAGCTAACACCAAGAAAACATTTTAATTAAACTACAGAAACAATGGTTATAGTACAGAATATTCATAATAAGCAAAAAGATACACCATGTTATATGTACTTACAAAGTTACAAACCATTTGCTTCCTTGACATTTTCCATATTTTTAAGTTCATACATGTAGATATGATCAGATATACCATTTTGGGAGGAAGGGGAGAAAAAAGGTGTATTTATCATCAGCTAGATGTGCTCACTGTATGCTCCGTTATTTATATGCAAGGCCCGGGTGACTGGAAGTGCAGTTGTCAGGCATTTTAATAAACTGGACAGCCATTTGTTTCTGCACGACAAGGCATCTTTACACAGGAGCAATCAGGAGAAAACAGGAAACAGCCAAGCACTCTGCACTGCAACACGCCACCTTAACAGCTAACCAGCATTACTCAACTGCTACACAACTGCGCCTAGTGCACAAAAATACATAAGAGAAGAGATTAGAATTGTGTTTGATAAACAATCCTCTCAAAAAATCAAGTCTTTTCACCTGAAAAGTCTTTATACAAATTTGGGTTCAGATTACCATTTAGATCTGAAGGTAAATAACATATACAAACAAATTTACACCAACTTTTGTAGATTTTTAATTTTAAGGAATGAAGGCAATGTTGAGTCAATCTCTTGACAGCTTTAGGCTGTGTGTAATGGCTGCACACGTTTCCTTAAAAGTCAGGAGGCCACAAATTAGGTTACCAATCTGTTTAATTTCAAACAAAAAAAGTCAGCACTATGTAACAAAAATGAAATTTTACCTCAAATATCCAAATCCAATAATGAAATCTGAAGTCGTTCACCTCACTAAATTACAAGAAATTTGAATAACAGCAACAAAATGGCACATAAAATGAAGTTTGCCACCTGAGGCAAAGCTTAAAACAAGTAAAAAGTTAGACAAATGTTACAAAATAACCTTTTCAATAGCCAGTTGCTTGTTCCAAGGACTCTTCTTTGATGGACTGAGTATGTGGTCCTTTTCCCCCAAGTCCGCCATTACGTTGCTTGCCGACACATCTAGGTTTGAAAAGAAACAAGTTCAGTTTACCCTCCATTGCTGTGAAGAAGATAGGAAAGTGCACAAGGTTTCAGTTTCAGGCATGTACTTACTAAGGCTCTGGTGAAATGAGAAGGGTATGGTAAGGTTCCACCAGCCATTATCAGTTTGTTTTTTTTTTAAAGGCCCAATTAGGAAATTTTCACAAAGACTACCATCAGCATATTCAAGTTTGAATTTATGTATTCTTGGCCAAATAACCAAGGTGAAAAATGGTAAGGTAAGGGGAAGGAAAAAAAAAAGGAAAAAAATAAAAAAAGGGCTGTATCCAAACAAAACAACTTGAAATCAGAATTAGCCTACATTTAAGATAAATTATTTTCAAAATGAAATATTTGGCAATTGAGAATAATGCTTTAATATCTGCTACTTAGGGCCCTTTCCTTTTTTAAAAAATAGGACCAAACAATTTGAGAGTTAAAGACACACTATCCTTTCCCCACCCAGTGCAATACCTGTTAGCTTTCTTTTGGGGTTCCAAAAGTTCACTGCTTATTGCAATTCGTTTGCCACATCCATTAGAATATGAAGTCCCAGTCAGCACAACAATAGTTGAACTGATTGTTTTTCTCTAAGAGGATAGTGCATCTTTAACATTTAAAGACAAACCTGCTCCAATACACGCCCACAGAAACTGGTCCCTGGAGGATCAGCCAAATCAGTTAAAATCTGCAATACTGGCCAATATTCTTTTATCAAACAGGAGACCGCAGCTTTAAAGGGGGAAAATGCAGACGTTGGATAAAAACAGCAAGAAATAGTCATTTTCAATAATAGGTCTCAAACAGTTTATGAAACAGCCATTATTATCTAAGCTTCATACACATCCTTCCTGCAGACCCCTCTTCAGTACTACTCCCAAAGCTGAGCAACCTCAGAGCAGCGCTGCTGACGCTAGGAGTCACTTTTATATCAGCACGGCTCACAATCCACTCCAAACCCCATTCACGTATCGATCAGGGCGATGTGCCTCGGGCCCCGCAGACGTTACCTTGTTCTTAAGAGGACACCGCTCCTTCCTCCTCAGGAGACTTGGGGGGGCTCTTGGATCGCGACCTGGACTTGGACTCCCTCTTGGACACGGGGGGAGGACTCCTGGACCGCGAGCGGGACCTGGACCGCGAGCGGGACCTGGACACCGACGAGGACTTGGACTTGGACCTCCGCGCGGATCTGGACTTGGACGTCGACCGGGAGCGAGAGCGAGTGCGGGACCGAGACTTGGAGCGGCTGTAGCGCGACCGGCTGCGGGACCTGGAACGACTGCGACTCCGGGATCGGCTGCGGCGACGCCGCCTAGGGCTGCAGGGACAGGCGGCACGTCAGGGCGAGCGCGAGGCGGCGGGGCGGCCCCGCCCGCGCGCTCCCGCCCCGGCCGCCATTATCTCGCTGCCAGACGCCCGACGCCATTTCCCGGTCGCGAGGCGGGAGGCCCCGGCCCCGGCCCCGCGCGCCCCCGCCAGCGGCGAAGGGAAGCCGCGGGACGACCGGCGGGCCAGGCGGGGGTGCGGCGAGCGGCCCGGCCCCGCCCGCGCCACGTGCTCCCCGCGGACCTTTGTGAGGCAGCCCCGGCCTGCGCGCCGCCCCGCCTCCCGCGGCCCCGGGCCCCGCTTACCTGCGGCTGCGGCGTCCGTAGCCGCCGCCCCCGTACCTCCGGGGTGGCGGGCCCCGGCGGCTATGGTGCGAATCCGGGGGGCGGCCGTAGCGCGCCATCTGCACCCGCAGCTCGCGGCCGTCCAGCACGGCCCCATCCATGGCGTCCATGGCGTCCTCGGCGTCGCGCTTGTCATGGAAGCGGACGAAGGCGAAGCCGCGGGACTCCTTGGTGTAGCGGTCCCGCGGGATGTACACGTCGCCGACACGCCCGTACTTCTCGAAGACGCGCCTCAGCGTGTCGGGCGAGGTGCGGTAGGTCAGGTTGTCCACCTTGAGGGAGGTCATGCCCTCCACATCGGGAGGGGGGCGGCCGTAGCTCATGGCTCTGAGTGGCGGCCCGGGGCCCCGCGAACTGCCGCCGGTTTCCTCAGCTTTGGGCGGTGCGACGCCGCGCCTCTTCTCTGGCAGTAGCCTTCCGCGTGGTAACGCTAGGGAAGGCCAGGCGGGCGAAGGGACCGCGCAAACTACAGGGCCGGGCGCACCTGGGCAACAACTGGGCGGGCGGCTGGCACCAGCGCCCGTTTATATCCCTTCTCACAAAATGGCGCCCGCGCCACCCGGAAATGAATCCCCTGATTGGCTCTCCGCGCCCCGCCCCGTAGCGTCGCTGCCGCGCGCCCCGCCCCCACCAGACGCGCCTGCGCAGAACCCGGCGGGCGGGCCGAAAAGCGCGAAGTCACTGCGGGCGGGAGGGGGAGCGGAATTTACGGGCAGTTGGAAAGCCCGCGAAATGCTCTTTCCGCCTGCAAGGGAGAGGGAGAGCGCTCGGGAAGGAGGAAGAGGAGGCGCTCCCGATCTGGGCCCCGCCTTCTTTTCATGCCAATACCTCAGCTCCACGCAGCTTTTCTGCTCGGCCCTCAGCCCCCGCCTCTATCAGAGGGGTGTTCCTACCCCCATCTCCCTCTACGTGTCCTTGGTCTCTTCAAACCCTGCTAGGTCGTCCCTAGGCCCCTCCACTAGTTCCCGACTGCTCTTTGCCAGGCTCCACTCCCTAGGCCCTTTCGCCCGAGCTCGCGGCCCCGGCCTGCTCCCCCTCCGGGGGTGGGGAGCCCCCGCAGTGCGCCTGCGCGTCCCGGGCGGCCTGGGACTCCGTTTCCCAGCGGGCCTAGCGGCGCCGCGGCAGCGATCAGGTGACTGGTCGCCTGACTTGCAGTGAGTCAGGGCCCGGAGGGCGGGGCCGCGCGGGCAGCTGCAGCTCGCCCTTGGCCCCTTAATCCCCTCGCGGGTCCCTCAACCTGGAGCATCTATGTTCCTGGCGCGTCTCCGAGTGTTGGGCTCTTCCCTGCTCGGATCGCATCGTAGGAATGTCCTAACTGTGCCGGTGGGGAGAGCTTCACCCTAAGCCCGGGATTCTGATCCAAGCACTGGAAGTTGACAGCTCGGCTGCCTTGCTCCTGCATCTGCCTTCTCTTACTATCTCATTTCCTTCCCCAGGATTGTCAGTGGGTTCGCCCCGAGGAGAGCTGACTGCCCTGGGCTGTTGCTGACCTCCGGCAGAGCTGAGCCAAAATGTCCCCGGAATCTAAAAAGCTTTTCAACATCATTATTTTAGGAGTTGCCTTTATGTTTATGTTCACCGCCTTTCAAACTTGTGGAAATGTGGCGGTGAGTTGGAATCTGTTCTCCCTCCTTTGAAGTGCGTATCATGATTCCAAAAATGATAATAAACGTTAATTATATCTAATAGCGCGCTTAAATTGAATCTTTTATTTTCCCACTAGCGTTCTTCGTTTCTTATGATTAGGTTTGATTTCTTGTGTCAGACATTTCTCTTGTATGGGGTGTTAAACTACCGTTTATCCCATTCGATTTGGGGTTTTGGACATTGACCTAGTTATTTTAATTTTTGTCTATATTAAGCTCTTCATTAGTTCTTGGATGGCTAAGGAAATAAAACCTAGGGAATACTTACAGCTGGCTGCCCTCCCCCCTTCTCTGTCTTGTAATTGGTTTGCCTTCAGTTCTGTTGTCCTTTTTCTTTTCTTATAGTAGACTTTCAGTG